TTGTCTACATCAATGGTCTCTTTTTTCCGGTCACCCTGTAAAATTAAATCTAAACGACTACTATGACGATGCAATGCAAGGTGAACGGCCTCAATCCGCTTTCCTTTTCCAATTCGGCCGCCAGAATCCTTGATTCTGTTTCACCTGTATAGAAAACACATTTAGACATCAAGTCATGTAGATGATAACAAGTTATAGAAGATGATCTGATCGAATGTCGAAAATCGCATTATTCGATGTCATATAAAGGAATGCGTCGTGTAAAATTAAGTATGGTACAATACAATACAATACAATGCAATATAAAGTAATACAATACAATGCAGTTTGTAATACAATAAAATACAATGCAGTATGTAATACAATATGATACAATGCAAGACAATATAATACAATACAATGCAAAACAATACAATACAATGCGAAAATGTATGTCCTTAATAAAGTTGTAAAATTGCCAATCGAAGATAGCCATTGAAGTCAAAATGATTTTCCGGTTTCCAAACTTTCAGAGACGATTGTATAATATAATACACTAACATACAAACACATATATACAGTACAGTAAAGCCTGTCTCAATGAACACCTCTCTCTAATGAACACCTCTCTCTAGTGGACACCCTTCCTCCACACATATTCTACTGACTTCTGTTTAATTTATCCTCTCTGTAATGAACACCTACCAACACTGAATGTTTTTGCTCTGCAAAAGATGTTCGATAAACACAAGTTTCACTGTATATCGATATTAGTAATATGGGTGTTATGAGGAAATATCTCTGTTAAGGCAATTTCGTCAAGTCATTATTCATATTGATGTTAATTGAAAAACTCGGTCCCCTGTAAAGGTTTAGGAACGTCATATTCCCTTTTGGCGCTTTAAAATAATTCGATTCGTCCCTGGTTTGTTGGGATTTTGACCCCTGTCCTTTGTAATGAATTCTAACTCTAATTTCGAAGATATCCATTGGTTCCCTTTTTCCATTTCGTCACCTCCCCTGGTTTTTATGATAAATTTTAACTCTAGCTTTGAGGATACACACTAGTTAATTTGCTTGCATTTTGTCTCCTCCCCTAGTTTTTATGATAATTTTTAACTCTAACTTCGAGGATACACACTAGTTAATTTGCTTGCATTTAGTCTCCTCCCCTGGTTTTTATGATAAATGTATATCAAACTTCGAGGATACACATTAGTTAATTTGCTTGCATTTTGTCTCCTCTCCTGGTTTTTATGATAAATTTAACTCTAACTTCGAGGATACACACTAGTTAATTTGCTTGCACTTTGTCTCCTCCCCTGGTTTTTATGATAATTTTTAACTCTAACTTCGAGGATACACACTAGTTAATTTGCTTGTATTTTGTCTCCTCTCCTGGTTTTTATGATAAATTTAACTCTAACTTCGAGGATACACACTAGTTAATTTGCTTGCACTTTGTCTCCTCCCCTGGTTTTTATGATAATTTTTAACTCTAACTTCGAGGATACACACTAGTTAATTTGCTTGTATTTTGTCTCCTCTCCTGGTTTTTATGATAAATTTAACTCTAACTTCGAGGATACACACTAGTTAATTTGGTTGCATATCGTCTCCTCCCCTGGTTTTTATGAAATATTCTAACTATAACTTCAAGGACATATTAGTGCATTTCCTTGCATTTCTTCCCTTCCCCTGGTTTTCATGGTAGATTCTAACTATAACTTCGATGATGCCAGGCTATGATATGCAAGTATAAATACTTGTTGTTAATCATTACTTGCATTTAATTTGTAATTTTGTACATTTGTTTTTGCCTTGTTTTGTTTCTTTGCAAAATTATCTCTTCAACATGAGTTAAGTGAATCACAAAACCCATTATGTCATCGAAAACATAAAGTGTAAAATCACAATAACTACTACGAATATGGGAACTAAGCGTAAATTCTGAATTTCTAAATATTCAAGAGGTCGAAGAATGAATTGTGGTGTCATAACCCCTTTTAGGAAGGTAGAATATTAAGAAATACTCAATAGTGAAACATAAGCATAATCACGGTGCGAAACAAGGAAAACTGCAAGGGAATGCGTTTTTATTTTATCACTATATACTATCCCTTTATCTGTATGTGACAAACACTTTACTCTAAAGGTTGTCTGTATTATTTTACTCGTTATTTTGAAATTATTTACTGATCATTTAAGGATTGAAGCTCAGTAATCTTATATGTTGTAGGATGTCTTGTGTCCAGACCTTTCATGGATCATGCGGCAGCAAGAATTCAAAGTAGTCTAGAAAACAATCAAAGTAGTCTAGAAAACAATCAAAGTAGTCTAGAAAACAAAACATAAGTGGATCAAATCATTCGCGATTCATTGAGTCGTTGTTTTAGTGCTTTTTTATAGCCATACTGCTTGGTTGTAATTTCAAAAATGTAGATTATTTGAAATACTGTGTTCTTAATAAGGCCTAGCTGTGTGCATAAATTCTGTTGGTTTTCATACACAAATCATTTTTGTATGTCAAATTAGTTCTGAAAACAAATTAAAACCATTACACTTATAAACACACAGGTGGCCTATTTGAAACTCATTTGTAAGATAGAAACACTCGATGTTATTACAGTATTAATCGTTCGGGGATAAATGGGCTTGTACGTCGTATTAAAAAGTAAAACATGTGCTTCACTTAGAAAGATATGTGATTTTGCTTTTAACAAAACTTATATATCTCAGATAGCTAAACGGGAAGTTCCTATTTAAGGCTTTGTATTGTGCTGCATTGTATTGTATTATAGTATATTGTATTGTATTGTATTGTATGGGTAGCAGTAGCACACAGTGAGAGTCTAGATTTGTACTCACACTCAACTATGTTAGAATTTTCCAGTAATTCCGGATAACAAGGAAAAAACGTGTCTTAGCGAGGAATAATTCAAATATGCGTGTACTATCTTGTTAAATCTCAGAAGTAGGTGATTACATGCTTACATTTTAGACGTTCCATTCAGAGTGTACAGAAAATAACAAGAAAACTTATCAAAGCGCAGACGACATTTAAAAGGGCGGGAAGATTCATTCAATTACCCGCGCAGGTAAATCCCCGGGGATTAAGATCTTTGCGCAATGAGGACATTAGGCCATTTGAATCCTAAGCAATCGATCATTAGATTTAGTAGATTCGTCATAAGTCGTACGATTTAATCTTTTTGTCTACCATTGCGATTGATTAATTAATACCGTCTTATAATTCTCGAGAAAATATGTTTTGATTAAATCAAGTCAGATTTCGTGTGGTGCTCGTGTAATGTCAAATCGTAATCTGTATGTGAAATTGCAAGGAAGTGCGTTTGATCCATGCTCAAGCTTAAAGAGCAAGAAAAATACCAATACATGCAATTATCACATAATTAAGACAAATTGCATCTAGCGATAATGATTTCGACGTAACCTAGAAGAAAAATCTCAGATGTAAGTGTTGTTAATGCGAACTGCAGTTTTAATTTCCTATTTTGGACCGTTCCACCCTGATCCCCTTAAAATATTTCAATATATTGCAATACACTTTTCTCCGATTGAGCAATCATTGTATTTTGATACCCTTGCTCATTCATACTATTAATCGCTTTCCGATCGACATATTTGTAAGATTTTGTTGAAGGATTCTTAACGCTTTGAGAGAATATCAAAATAAGCATCATATTTTATTAAGAAACATCTATCGCAAATTGCTATTAAATCTGCGTAATTTAGCAATTGTATTCAAAGCATGTTCATCGTCTTTAGGAAAGTAAGGTCGTAACCTCGTTTGCATTCCTAAGGTGATTCTCGCTCGCCCGAGATTAGAAAACTGCGATGAAATGTCGTCTGCTGATAGATATTTCACGTTATTTCTCTCTAGAATTTGGATAAACTGGTAGATTTTCTTGTATATCTCTACAATTTGGAGTCCTAGCTATGCAAGTATAGATTCTTTTCCTCGCTAATTTCATTCTTCCATACTCTTTTGCATTTTAAAAATGGCCCCGTGATATATACTTTCCGGGTGGTCTATATATTTCCGTGGGAGTAAAGAATTAATAACTATCGCCTAATGACTTAATTATTTGGACGACAATGGGATCGATGTGATATCGGAAATGACTTTCTTTGAGTCCAACACCACGCTGTTATATTTATTAAACTTCAAGATTTGGATGTGACTTTATGAAGATTTTCTCGAAACTCATTTGTCCTTAATTAATGAATAATATTTTCCAACGGTTAACGACGTATTGGGAATAAAGATTACGTAGAATTAGATAGTCGTATCTACATAAAATTGCGTTGGAGTATGTTAGGGATGTCAGATATCGTACTGATTTTATAATACTATTAAATGGCTAGTATTGGCTCAACTCTTTTATCTGTTTTACCTAAATTAAATCTACTATGTTTGGGTTTGAATGTTAATATGAACGCATATATCTAATATATCGAGAGTTGTGGAAAAGCAAATCAAAATTTATCCCATGGTTATAGCACATTCTTCTGTGAAAAATGTTGATCTGCTTTGTACGTCCAAGGGGTTCAAAATAAATGCTACGTTCAGAAAATCATCATTTGTCCCCTCTCCTAATAAAACTAAAATCGCCCTTTCTTGACTGTGGACATTTTGACCTCTTCCCTGGCAGTAGGTAGTGACGTGTATCTGTATGAGTTAAACGTCTGATCTTTTAATCATGTGCGGAATCAGACATGTACATGTATGTAGTAACCTAAATTACTATTAAATTACTAAAACTTATTACATATGAATGCAAGACATTCACATGGCAAAATGTCACCACCTTGGAAGTACAAATTGCTACAGACGCTGAACTCCGACCGCCGGACACCAAACGCCGAGCGTTGAACACCGTTCACAGAAATTGGGGGCTATAACGGTATATGTCAACACTTCTTTTGGTGACATAATTAACAAAGACGTTTCCATTAGGTCGTCATTTTATTTTTTCTTTAATTTATATATTTTTCAGATTGGGAATCTAGAAAATTTTTACCTATTGGAGCACAGTCGCTACCCCTCGCGGACAAAAAGAGAAGCTCGCCATATCACGAAACGACTATCAGAGGACGAGCGGGTAAGTTATCGTCTTTTTAAATCAGTTTTTAATTCTATGATTTTAATTTATGGAGAGAAATATTGTTGAGTTGGAGACTTTCTGAAACGTTTGCTGCACAATTTATGCTTGAGTTACCGTAAGCTTGGTGTCAGACCATGCCATGTCACTGTGCCACAAAATAGAACATGCCAAATCTTGACATTCGAAAGAAAAATACTCAGCGTGATTGATCAAATATAACTCCCCGGGGTACCACTCATGTAATATGAGTTAAACCTTACGCCGAAACTGATACATTTACATCTGGTCATTTATTAAACGTGAAAAGGGGATTTAAGTACACGTTCTAGGGTCTCTATCACGTGTTTTGATGAAATGACGATATTGAGGAAATGAGATGAAACCTCAATTTCAAGGGATATACTCCATAAATTCTAAGGGCTTTAATTTAAGGCACAATGGCGCTTACGTTTGAAAGAAATACTGTCAGCTCATGAATTTACGACCTAAATTGGATCATCAACAGAAACAAGTGGAGTACATATATACCTTTAAATTGAAGTCTCTCCCAGCGGATTGGGATTCTGATTTGAAGGTATTGAGCCCGATAAGGTCTACTCCGGAAAATAAATAAAAGCAAATAAACAGCTAGTTCAACAAGTTAAACCTAGTCTGGGCCTTATTTCTTATCTGACATTTCTTGTGGCCCGCCCTAGGTTTAACGTCCGTGCCCATTCGGCCCTTCGATGCAAAACATTTTAATGATGGCCTATGACAGCGCATAAAATTCGATGCGCGTTTTATTTATAACTGATAGTGAGAATTTGCAACCAATGAAAGCATAGCACGGAAGTTAAATCCAACCACGGCAGCAAGAACACTCAGATTATAAATGAAAGCCGTACGTGGTATTGGGTTTAACTTGTTGAACTAATAAACAGCCTGAAATAAAGGTCGTCAATCCTCCATATTCAGGGCTACAATAAACCAGGGTCAAATGAACGACGCTAATTGTTCCAGAGTTAAAATATACCATTAGAAAGGGTGTGCATCAGGAAAAATAAAACAGTGTGTCATATAAATATGTCCTCCCCTTTTTTAATTTCAAAATTATGAATTTTGTGCATAAGACTGCATCGAGTTGAGCTAGTCATCTGAAACTTCTTGTGGAGTTGCTACATGGAGCTTAGTTTTAAAGTGCTGAAAAACAGTTAAGATATCATGCAGACAAAAAAAGTTATGCAACATTGTGTTATAGTAAAGCTAGTGAACGTATCTATTTGACACCATGTAGAATAAAATAACATTAACATTGACATTACAAAGTTAATGAAACAACGAAGAAGGGACATCTTTTTAGATAATGAATAAATTATGAAAAAAAGTTTCACTCCATTAAATGGATTTTGGAGACGTATTTTAAGATAACGTTGACCTCAAATGACCTTCACGGGAAATAAAACTAGTCTTCAGTTTTGACTCACGACTCAAGTGTCTGACACTCTTAATAAGTCTGAAATCTTGAATCGCCCTCAGACTCTGCGTTACATCAGGCCGTTGGTTATAACAGCGACTGTAAAAATTAATCACTCAATCATTCATTCAAGTCGATTTCAAAAAAGATAAAAGTCATTCGTTTCCAACCTACTTTAATTTGGAGAACTTAAAGATACAAACAGGTTTTGTTTCGCCTTTCAATTGAGGCATCAAGTTGCCAAACGAATGGCGGGTGTAAAATGATTCTCGAAATATAAATAAATATCGTCACTAAAATATCGAGATCAACGTGAAGAAATCCGATATAATTTCAGAAATTAAACTCCCAGATAAAATGTAAAGAAAGATCATGTTTAAAATTAAAGTAGTGAAAAAATGATTGGGATCAGCAAGACATGTTGTCAACACTTTAAATTGTATAAAAATGCTAGAAATTCAGACACTTTATTCAAATTTTAGAGGGAATTGGCGAGAAATAATCGTGCAAACAATCTTTTAAGCATGGCTCAATTCTTCTCATTAATTAGATACATGAAATATCCGACCCCGCATGCCTTATCAAGTTATATAGCACAAAACTATACTTTTATATACAAGCTTGATTTGTCACGTATTTCGTATCATGAATCGATCCATGGTAATGATAACGATACATCATATAAGCCATCATTTCATTTTGTAATGACTAATATGTCAGGTCATGACATCTAAAGAGTCAATAAAAGATATATAAAAAGATATATATAAAAGATATATATATAAGCCCATCCCACGTACATATAAAGGTTCAATAACCGATATCAAGTCTAAAAAATAAATGTTCTTTATAGAATTCAAACATTACTCAATACATTCAATCGAAAACAATAATTCTGTATCAAATGAAGACTTCTAGTTGCCAAACTTATAGAGAGGAGTGTAAGCGTATGTACACTACCCTCCATACGTTTGGCAACCTTAGCTTCCCCATTGAACTACGTGATAAGGGCCTCTTTACCTTTGAATTTTTATTTACTTAAGCTGCGATGAAAATACGTATTATACTATTAAAGGAAACACAATTTGACTTTATTTCCATAATACCTCCAAATTTTCTCAATTTTTTCCTCAATTACAAGAGGTCGAAAATTGATGATAGATTTGATGAACATTTGAAAATATAGAAAATTGAAATGTCTAACATTTTTGTACACTTAGTGTCATTTTTGAAAATCATTTTTCGCCTCCTGTGTTATTTCAATGGGAGAGGTTTTTTGAAAAACAAATTTGATTGTCACAATTGCTTTTGTATTCCTATCTTTGGAATTTGGCATTCTTGGCATTGGTATCCACAACAATTCTAATGCCAAAAATACACTCCCGCCAAAAATTGGCAACCAGAATTCCCCTTTAAACCACGTAAATTTCTGTTCACCTTTTGGCGATTTTTCCAATATCATCACAAGGGTTTAAGATATGATATGTTACCACCCGCCATTTGTTACAGACGCCGAACACCATCCACCGACTACTGAACACCATACTCAAAAAAGTTGGAAACCTTAACAATATGTCACCAATAGTTGAGATTTGAATTGAAACATTGACAACACAATCTTTTCCATACTTTTTGACGAGCGTTAGGGTTTCCATATTTTTGGAGAAAGCGTAAATGGTGCTCGTTTATTATGCCAAATGTTTTGTAAACATTGAACTAAAACATAAAAATCCTTCACATTGACACGAAATCAATATTTACAGTTTTACAAATGAAAAATGCTTCAAGAACGATTGTTGTGCTATAAAAGCAAAATTTAGATTAATTGGTATTATGATATACGATAACTCAACCAGACTGATTGTATCAAAATAGTATTGTTTCTGGTCACGACTGAAAATGATTTTTATGATATCATCGTCTGTCCTGGCCTAAGGGGTCTTGCTAGAAAGCCAACGTACTCTATATTATATTTTACCGTTTTCTCGTTTTCACATCCATTAGCGTGTCGTCATTGCGCGTAGTAAGCTTTGGGCTTGAGAATCACACCAGGCCCGCGACCTTCACTGATCATGATGGTGAAATTAAATATTGTTCCGATGGATATATGCCACCATTATTCATTGTTTTGATACCATGTCAAATGTTGTAATTGACATTTTTCAGTTTCATAGTTTTTCATCAAACGATTTGAAAAAGATTTATTTATTATTTCACATACAGAAATGCACATGTATAAAAATGCGAATGTATTATATAACTTCACTTCTGTCTTCAGGTCCATTGGGTTGAACAACAATACGCGAGATTGAGAGTTAAACGAGACTTTATCGATGAGGAGTTTCTGGATGAAAAAAGATCAAATGAAGATTGGAACGACCCTAAATGGAAACAGCAATGGTATCTTGTGAGTACTTTGTATATTTCCCCCAAGTCCAAATGCTTATGATATAACCCTCCTGCGCTCAACGTAACTGTATTCAAAGCGAAAACAGGGAAAGGTAAAACGATTTCACATTTAATTTTGACAAATAAGTCCCATTAAGATACACATCATTAAAGAAATATTCCTTGCCAGACCCTTTCTCTCTTGATATGGTAGCTATAATCATATGTATAGTTTCCATATTTAGCAAAACATGGGAAAATGTTTTAATATGGTCAATATTGATCTTTTAAAAATCTAGGGCTTATTTCCAGTGAGCTGCCATCTTTTAAGATTTCTTGCAGGAAGTGATGTCATCAACTCTCAACATCTATAACCTTGCCCATAACAGTATAGGAAAGTAGCACAAAATCACTTCTAGACAAGTGATCTACTTTCTGTGCAAAAATATTTTCAGGGCTTGTCAACTTAGAATAAAAGAAGAGATTTTCAGAAGGATTAAATAAGATACAAAGTTGAAAAAGAATATTTAGCTGGTTTTGTAATTCTTAATAGCTCCTCACCTAATGCTATATGCAAAGTTGAGAGTCGATGACATCACTTCCTTTGTGAAATTTTAAAAGATGGCAGCTTACAGGAATTGAGCATCACATTTCTAAGTGATCAAATTTGACCATATCAAAACATTTTTGCGTGTTTTGCTAAACATGGCAAGCATATATATGGTTATAGCTACCATAGATTTATGAACTTTATTACACATTCATACCCATAAAAGGTTAAGTGTACACAAAGTAAACACTAATTTTACAATATATCAATACAACAGAAAACAGTATATATAACAACACACAAAATTAACACTTCATAATAAATAAATAAGTAAATAAATGAACAAATAAATATGCATCATGGATAAGCACATGAATGGTGATTGTGATACGCGTCCATTGTTTATGTCATATATCACACCCTTCTATGTTATATTACATTTATGAATAAATTCTGCTACAATTTCAATTTCTTTATTTTCACAAGACATACAATATTGGAAAAAAAGTGAATCGTCCTCCATGTTGAAAAGGTGTTTAATTGGGTTGCCGTGTGATACAAGTTTATCGAGCATTTTCTTTCTATATATACTGTATTTTTTACATGAACGCATTATGTGTTTTTCGTTTTCTATTAAATTGCAAACCTCGCAAATTCTTTCATCGATCTTTAATTTTGGGCGTTCGTATCTACCCGTTTCTATTTTTAATTTGTGGTTACTGATACGAAACTTTGTTAGACTTCGTCGTAAATGCCCATTTGAAATTGAATCTAAATATGGTTCGAACCTGAAATTGCTTTTAAATATTTTGTATGTATTCAGTTTGCGACATTGGTCGGAATTCAATTGATTTCGCTATGAGGAAAGAGATGGTTTGGCAAGGAATATTCCTTTAAGTTTAATATATATAGCTATAGAAGACGGTGAATACTGAATATACATCATCTGCAAGTTTTTATATGTTGTTACGAAGTTTTATGAAATATTGATATAGTGAGAAGTCGAAGCATCGGGCAAAGGGTAACGTATATCAAATATATCATTGATGATTTTTAGGATTCTTGTACGAATACCGTTCCGTAAAATCGCCTTTTCTTAATATCTTAACGTCGAACAGCAACAGCTCAAACAAATTCGCTTTTTATTTTTTCTTCAACAGATGATAAACTGTATTAGAACCCTCATAATGGCATTGATGCAAGATGTGCTATGGCATCCCGTATACCGCATATTCTGTATTTTCGAAAAGGCATGTGCGTAGGATAGTTACGACTTGATATAACATCCTTGATATAGCGGTATGGAGCAAGTTTTTTCAATATGTCAAAATTAAAATCAATGATGCCATTGACGTAGCACCTGTTACGCCTCTTTTGAGTGCAGTTCCCCTTTGCAGCTCTGATTCTGCTGTTAATGTATGATAACAATTGTGCAAATCCCCTCTGATAGCACCATTTATGGAAACCAAAACGTTAATCCTGCATCAAGACCTTCAAAATCCAAATGAATTCCTGTGGAGCATTGCCGACTCACTCCCAATATTCTGCTTTTCCCAAATGGGCATACCAACTCCAAATATAGCCGTACGCCCATGAGCACTACAGGGTGCGATTTTCGTTTTCTATTAAAAGGGGCTTACTGCCTAGTATAATAAAGTATATTACAATTTTTCCCATGCAACAATTGCTCTTTTGTTTTTTCCTAATTAATGAATGTGACTAACGTGTTGTTTTAACCACAACATGGTAAACCGTTATTATTCTATTCATTTATCATCGAGTTTTTCATTCGGTTAATATCCGGGACCACACAAATTATACACAGTGGTGGAAAGCATATACATGTCATACAACAAGTGTATATTCTGATAATATTTGAAAACGTGTTTCAGCTTTTATTTCATTGTACTAGCCTTTTTGTGGGCTAAAAACATTGAAGAAGGTAGTATAAACTTTCGATCTCATACACTGCCCTCCATAAGTTTGGCTCCGGAAATTTAATTGGATTAAATATCAAAGCTTGTCAATATTTGAATCCTTATTTTCGTACCTGAATTATACAATAGTTCGAAACTAGATGACACATTTGATGGCTCTGTTCAGATCGTCAAATATAAACAGGCTTTGTTTCTTGATCCAAAAGTCCACATCCGGTTTCCAATCTTATGGGGGTGTATAGGTACCTTTCTACCACGTCAACGTATGAACTCTTGTCCTGGTCAAGTGTTTTGGCTCCTCAAACGCCTGTTAAATCTTGGAGATTTATTGATTTGAACACCTCTAAATTTTAACACGGTTAATGTAAACATTTCTAAATGCGAACACCTGTAAACTTGTGAACATGTTATTGTGAACATCTCTTAATATGAACATCATGATAGCGTGGATATCATTTAATATGAACACATTTAGCGGATTCCATGTTTTAACTATAGGACAGTATAAGACTATTTGATTCTAAAGCTATATTTGTCATTAGTATATATTTATGTTTTCTTGGAGTCTACCACAATCTCGCCATCTATTGACATATACCAACCTCTTATATTAAATATTCACTCTTGCGATATATACATGCATGTTTGTTCTTTTTCCAGTATGATGTCAGTAGAGATGAGAGGGAAACTGTAAAGACGATGGACCATAACGTTGTCGGTGTTTGGGACAAGGGCATCACAGGAAAGGGCAGTGTTGTTTCAATATTAGACGACGGTAAGACGTTTTTGGATTTTAACAACCGTCTGATCAATTGCTCTACAAGTTACCTACGGGGTGTATTTAGATTGTCAACTCTTTTGGAGAGAAGCAACCTTTAAAACGTTTGATTATTCACTTTTATCAAAATGCTTTCCGACTTGGACCACTCGATGAATGCTAAATTTACGCAATGCCTTTATTAAATTTAATAGTATTAACCCATATGCAAGCTAGGTAGGAAATCCTGAACTTTTTAGATGAAAATATATTTAAAGACAATATAATCTTCTTAATTTCTCATACAAAGACAATTAATGACCGGCAAAAGTGTGATTTTATGTTCAGAACTGTTCAATAGCACATTGACTCACGTATAAAGGAAGCCATAAAATGATACATAACACTATTCCATTTCAATTTTACTCAAGGATGATACCTAGTATCGATAAAATCGATTCAGGAATTCGGAATTTGTAAACTATTCTTAATGCGATTGACTATTAATAGTGATCAGTGAATTTTATATTTTTATTTGTATATCTTGATTTTATTTATTTATTATTTTAATACAACCTATGATGACACAGTTAAAACTATAACCCATACTCCAATTAACGTTTTTACAACAATCTCACACACTTAACAATAAAGCAATCTTGTTACATTAATCCATTTCTTTCACCTATCTGAACAGGTCTGGAATGGAACAATACAGACATCTGGGCCAATTATGTAAGTATTAAAGCGACATTCATCGTTTTTAGCGATTGGAATCTATGATTTGTTACATAGCGATGGTATTCGTTGGTTAGTACTAGATCTCATTCCATATATAGTTAGACGTAGATGTGTTCGACGTTGGCGTTCGGCGTCTGTAACAAATGGTGGGTGTTGACATTTTGCATGTCAATGCCTTGTTTCTTTATTGCAATAGTAGGGTAAAACATAAAAATATATGATTTCTAATGGCCAAACACAAGAAGGCTTTAGTACTTTGGTAACTCCAGGTTGCCAAATCTATCGAAGGTATCTGTATTCGTAAGTATTTTTCCAGGACCCGTATGCCAGTTACGACCTCAATGACAATGATGCAGATCCGTTCCCTCGATATGACTCTACAAACGAAAATAAGTAAGTCATACATTGCTTCGTTGAACGTAATTAAAAGAAATGTAATAGTTTATGTATATTTTCATTCACTGCGCATGCGTAGTATATTCATTTATCCGGGTATTGAAGGGGACTAACATTAAAATGCGATGCCTGTTTACTTAATTAGAAATTGATGCGAAGTTGTTGACAATAATTAATTTTGTAAGATATATGATATCCCCTTTTCAATTTTGATATAGATATAGGTTATGTACTGGGAGGTTTTGGATATGGGTTAGAGGGAGATGCATATCTTCTCAAAGTCCCCGTCTAAAGTTTGAAAATATTTTTTTATCATTCATTTATTTACTATTTGTCAGGATTTAAAAAGTGATTTTAGAGATTTTTGAACAAAAACAATTTTTCAAATTTCCAGCCATTTTTCAAAGAAAGCTGAAATTTCTTAATCATCAAATATTTCTTAATGCATTTCAAAAAAGATTATCTTTTTAACACCAATGCAAAGATTGAACAAGGGACACACTATTTCAAAAATAAAATGCCATATTTAATAATATGCTACACTTACATAAAAAACAATGTTGATTGTCTAACCAGGTTAAAAGGAAGAATAAATTATGTTTTAGATATCATTGTACCATTGGTTTCTATGAGAACTAAAATTTTGAAATGCATTTTTCTCAGAACCATTTTTATGCACTGATAAGTTCATTTCTCGCTTATTTATAAACCGATTTTCTTAATTTTTCGGCAAAAATATGGGAGTATAAATGCTATGCATTGGTATGAATTGTGGCTAATTAGAAGATATGAGTGACCTCTAAAAGTTGGTATTAAATAAATTCAAAATTTTGGAGCAAAAAGTCTATCAAAAACCACTTTTTGAAATTAAAAAAAAAGTTTCACATATCACGTTTTTCGTTTTTAAAATTTTTTTTTCTTCTGATTTTTTTCAATTTTTTACAACCGGAAGTGGGAAGATATATCCGGGGGCGCGAAATCAAAACCCCAAAATCAGAATACGGGATATATCTTGTCAATATATCTCCCTAGAACTCCCTAGGTTTTTGATACAGGGAATATCCCGAGGAATATACAATATATGTTTCCGAGGGCCCGAAGAAATATAGAAATATATCGGGATATATAGCCATCGTATGTCCCAGAGAAGGCCTTATGCGGAATATGTGATTTATATATCTCTTATCCTCGTTGGAGCGGGGCATATGAAATTTAATATTCGCCCGAATATGGAATATATTCACGGTTAATGTGTCCCTGAAATCTCATTGAGTATGGAATACTAGACATTCGTTTTGTGTATCTTTTATTTCTATTGCATTTTATCAGATGAGCTCTTTCTGAATTAATTTTTGACCGTGATTGATTCGTTGCCATGTCTGTTGATAACGTTGCTTATATTATATTATACGTTATTGAATGATTTGAAGTGCAATACAAGATATATTCTGCTCGAGAAATTCTGTATTGGTACGAGACGAAGTCGTTTTTATCGTGTGATCCTTTGTATTGCTACTGAGATTGTCCCCTCCGTACCAATATTTTCTGTATTGCCGCAGTACTGAGATGAACGATGGGGACAATCTCAGTAGCAATGCAGATTGGTACAGTACTGACCAATCATTTTACAGATCATCCGATTATATATATTATTTGTCCTTCGCTACCAATTTTAATTGAATCCATACATTTTCAGACATGGCACTAGATGTGGAGGAGAGGTTGCAATGGTGGCCGATAACGGCTTTTGTGGCGTTGGAGTAGCATATGGTGCCAAAATCGGAGGTATAACAAAGCATAAATTGATTCTAAAGCCAAAATTGTGAAATATAAAGTACTCTTCAATCCTTCGTCTTTTGCGAAAATATTCCGAAATGGTGTAATTAACTAGAAGAACCAATCAGGATAGGACTTTCCTAGTATAATAGGAATATTTACACTTTCACATCGTCTTTGTATTTGTACGCAGAGGAATGGCTTTTTAGTTGTGATTTAGTTGTGATTCAAGACATCGACAAATCAAGTAATAACCTTCTAATAGAAAATGTTTTGATATAAAGATGGCAACCTTATCCAACATAACTTCCCCAGAATTTATATCGGATCAATTGTCAAACACACAGGTCCATAGCAGAATGTTATGAGTTAGATCTACATGAATAACTGGTCAGAGAATAATCAAAGATGGTAGAATGATACTTGATATTTGGCGTTTTGATTCAATTTTGGGTTGTTTTGGCCCTTGGCCACCCATGACTAGGTGACCTGAGGTCGAGGTCATTCCAATGTCAACATCCAGGTATTTGGAGTCCCTTGAGGCTGCTGTGACCCTTGGCGACCCATGATTAGGTGACCTGAGGTCGAGGTCATTCCAATGTCAACATCCAGGTATTTGGAGACCCCTGAGGCTGCTGTGACCCTTGCCGACCCATCATTAGATGACCTGAGGTCAAGAGCAATATTTATGGGTCAAGATCATCTTATGGTCAAAAGTAAATATCTAGGAAGTTGGCGTTTTAAGTATCTTAGGGGCTGATGTGACCCTTGGCGACCCATAACCTTATGACCTATGTCCATAACGGAGCAGGAATGGGTAAAAGGTGTGGTTGTCTTTGACAGTTTGTCTGAACATTTATCTTATGTTCTATGTCCATAACGGAGCAGGAATGGGTAAAAAGATTTTGTCTTCAATTAAAATGATGATCTGAAAAACAGCCTCATAAAAAATGAATACACAATTAGAAATACAGTAGCACTAAGTGAAGAGATTGAAAAAACATTTTGTTGTGGAAAATGTGCATAAAATCAGCTGATAAAATTGAGTATAACAACAGTGATGCATTGTCTAAGGGACCAAGCGAGCAGCTTAATATACAGCCTCATAAATATGGATTCACGATCAGAAATACAGTAGCCATAAGTGAAGATTGAAAAACATGTTGTTGAGGAAAATATTCATAAAATCGAGTATAACCACAATGACGCATTATCTAAGGGACCAAGCGAGCAGCTTAATGTATAGCCTCATAAATATGGATACACGATCAGAAATACAGTAGCACTAATGCCTTGGTGACATAGACTCCGATTTTCACTACTGCGCCCGGCCGAGTATTTTGTTCAAAATCGCCCGGCGAGCCCGGGAATCGTACGGGCGCCGGGCGCCGGGCGATGATCGAGCACCATCGGACGACTTTAGACATCGCCCGGGCGCCGGCAGAGTTTTATCGCGGAGATAAAAGTTGCCGATGAGTTGGCGATTTTTTCTCAACCAAACTCATCGATACATACCCAGCCGTGTCCCGTACGGTCATCGCACGATTATTTTAGTGACGACTCCCGGTGGCATCGTAACGTCATCTCGGAATTTAATTTAACTTTACACACTGATTTGTTCGATAATTCTCAATTATAATTACTAATATTATATAAACATTTTGAATATGATAAGTTTAGGAAATATAATTGCCCAGAACTTTTTTCTAAAATATAAAAGAACGAATTGAATAACGAAATATAGTTGCAAAACAATAACATATTTGGGTCGTTGTGTGGGTGGATGGATCTTTTCGTCCTTATTAGCTTCTTATGGATTAATTTTCGCTATATATTTTAAGTCACATGGTATTTGCTTGACCAACGAGTATCACAACATCGAAATAATAACACGTCTACTTATTTCTCAACTATATCAATGTCACAAATACTACCTTATTAAATTGGTTTAGCCTAATATACCTCAAATTTTTAATTACCCTGGCCTTTCCTACAAATTCTTACATTCACTTATTACCAAATTAGGTCAAAATTAGCACTGTAATTTTAAGTGTAGGAACTGGGAACAAGCTATATATATGTGATATAGAGTAGACATGTAGGGAAAAAGTAGAAATGAAATAGTTTTAGAGAGTGAGAAAAGCACAAATGTGGAATGTGATATTTTTGATATATATGAAGTGAATTATGCATCATTTGAGATATGTGAAATGAAAGTTAACTAGAATATGAGATATTCTACAACAGTTATGAACTTATGTGATTGCATAGTGATAGTGAAACTTGTGAAAATTGTGACAATAGTGTCAACTTTAACTAACTGATGAAGAACTAATAATCGTTACGAAAAGTGAAACAAGTGTGTATATTAACGTGCTATTGTTCTTACTGATGAGGACAATTATACGTGTGATTAAAATCTGTGATGTGAATATGACATTATTGCAAGAGTCCAGGAGCTACTCGTACCGTAAGAATTGTGTATCTGTAAAATGAACATTTGACGTAACTACAGACAAGACGTGTACATATCCGTTTATATATCGATAGTGTGAACCAGTGTGCAGGAGCTACAAACTGCGAGTGTTTGTGCATCTATGACAATGTAACTATAACTATAATTGTGTACGTGCCAGATTATTATCGCTGATGCAGACCAGTGTGCAGAGTTATTAGACTGCAGGTGTTTCGTACAATAACAACAATGGATCTTCAAAATATGGTGATATAATTAAATTATCATAAAATTACATTTTATTGACTACAGCAGGCTTTACTAATGACAATAGTGAGCGGTTACAATTATATACAGTAGTGCAAATATACTTCTTGTTGAGTATATTAAAATTTAATTTGAAAACTATTGTTTATTGGAAGTGAGTTAAGTTAGTTATTAGAAAAGTTAATTAGATTAGTGTTAAGATAAGGAAAAGTTAAAGGTAGAATTTTATTTGGAAAATTCCATCGCAAACTGTAAATTTGTAAATATGTTTATTAACTTTGAAATAGATTTTTAATTTTAATTCAAAAACAACCAAAGTTTTCATATTATTAACATCAGCTAAGGTATAAAGAACCCGACCCTGTGACAATCAATTTTTTAATGAGTGTACCTGTGTGTCTCTCGTTTTCACATGTTGTAACTGCACCCGATACACCCTAAAAGAATAGAATTATATATTTACTTATATTCATTGATGGAATTGAAAAATAGCACGCATTTTAAATTCGAAAATAATCGCACGTTATAATGAGATATCTAGGATATTTTTGTGATGTGGGATACGCTATATATTGACTGGTAGAGTGTTTGACGATTGTAAATATGATACCACAGCATTAGTTACCCAAGTTTAATTTTTCAGGAGTACGAATGTTGGACGGGCGCGTGACAGATTCTCTCGAGGCGAAGGCTATCTCCTTCAATTGCACACATATCGACATATATAGCGCATCCTGGGGGCCGAACGATGATGGTAAAACGGTCGAGGGACCTGGTAAACTGGCAACTGCTGCTTTTGAAAATTGTATCAAAAACGTAATTATTTGTCTTACTATGAATTTATTATAACCATTTATTATTACCCTCCCCTTCCTATGTTTACAATGAGAGTCTTCACTCCAAGTTTGGTTAAGTTGCTATAGATACAGATCTGCATATGATTACAATGGAAAAGACAATTTTAGTTGCCCATAATATGTTTTGAAAATAAAGATTGCAATGAACCCTACCTCTTACCAAAACCAAAGTATATTGGGTGGGTTTATAATTTCATTAGTTGAAGATAAAATCTTTCCAACTATAAGCAGAGGTAAAATTAATAAGTTTGGAAAATTCATAAGAATGGTGTAGTAGTTAACATTAGCAACCGACAACTTTATGACATCATTGATGATCTAGCTGATATACTCTAGCTTCTTTTGCGCAGTAAAATTTGGCAGCGTTTATTTGCAATGTCTACTTATTGTTTTGTTTAACAGGGGCGTGGGGGTAAAGGTGTGATTTACTCGTGGGCATCAGGAAATGGTGGGAGTAGGGGCGATAACTGTGACTGTGATGGATATACTGGCTCCATCTATACGCTGTCAATTAGTAGCGCATCTCAGAAGAGGGGGTAAGCAATAACATAATAAGATTTGAACAATAGAGCCAGGGCGAGAGCAAAGAGATAAGAGGCATGGCACTAATCTCGACCACATAAACATTTGTGAATTACACTTTTTTATATTGGAACTAAAGTGGTCTAATTTTCATAGACATGCTCCATTTCTGAACAACCCATTGATCAAATGGTTTTAAATAGCTTAAATGGATAATAATTAATATCAATACATAGCATACTATCACTTTATAGTACTATATGTTCTTTTGCTATGTAGGTCCCCTTGGTATACTGAGAAATGTGCATCTTCAATGGCAACCGCTTACTCCAGTGGAAGTTTTGGCGAGAAGAAAATCGTATGTGGTCTTATATTTGAATTCTTAACTTAAAATTGTACGTGCTTTATAGACGTCCCCTCCTTGCAGCTCTTAATAAATTTTCACCTGAAATTTTACAAATAGTAATAAAATAAAAAGTTCCCCGCCTCTTGACAAACTTTATTCCAAAATTTTGGATATTGGTAACATAGAATTGTTTTGGGATAATTCCATAGAAGGAGACAAACCTCATATTGTATCTATTTAATTTTAGGTTAGCACAGATCTCCACAACAAATGCACAGATTCCCACACAGGTACATCTGCCTCTGCGCCTATTGCTGCTGGAATCTTTGCACTAGTCCTTGAGGCAAAGTAAGAATACGGATCGGTGTACTACTCTACATTCATTTTCTTTATACTCTGGATTTGTTTTCATAAAATAAGTTTCACAATTACAAATGATTATCATTCACTATCATTCATTTTACAGTTTTTCAAATTGATGATATTCTGCGTTAATGTTACCTGGAATCTAATCAAAGCAGGTGCCAATTTCCGCATTAATATTACTTTTTTGATTTTGTCATCCCCAGCCTCCTTATATTTTGGCAACTAATGAGAAGTTAAACTTAAATTAACTTTAAATGGCCTATAATATTATTTCCATTAGCCCGGATCTGACGTGGAGGGATATGCAGCATTTAGTAGCGCATACGTCACAATGCTACCCCCTGAAGGACAATCCGGGTTGGAAGAAGAACGGCGCGGGTCTTTGGGTTAATACGCGATTTGGGTTTGGACTTCTCGACGCTCTAAATATGGTAGAGGCCGCGAATCCAGCTACATGGAAAAATGTCCCGGCTAAACATATCTGTGAAGTGACCTCAAAGAACGCCAAAGGACTGCCAAAGTGAGTGAATAAGCTCTAATACGTTAACATTTAGACAATGGTCCAAATAACCTACACGCATATATGTAAACCATAATGCGCATAATATGTGAAAACCATATTTTCTAGGAAAATATCTTCCGGACACGAGGTGATCGTAGAAATTGAAACCACCGGATGTGAAGGCCAAAATAACTCCATCAAATATCTTGAACACGTTCAAGTCCAGGTGTCAATGGACTACACAACTCGGGGTGATTTAGAGATATACCTCATATCACCCATCGGTGAGTGTTTCATATTGAACTATAACAATCACAACCCATATCTATTTTGAATGCTCATAGGCGTTTTATAATCACATGGTATAATTAATTGAAAACACTAATATAAATCCCCGCTAACTGGGAAGATAAAAAGTACAAATGACCAGGTCCATCGTATAATAGTTTGTTTTTTTTATTTATATTGTATTTCTTTAATTCAAATGATTACAATAAACACAAATACATTAGCGGCTTTGTAAGGTACATTATAAGCCACTTTTAGGATGATGATTCACAAAACTAGGTCTGCAAATGATCTGATAGTAATGATACTATTAAGCATAATAGGTCACTAGACTGCCTGGGGTCCCTCAACACAGTTCCTGATAAACACTGCACTCAACTTCAAAATATCAATGTTTTGCTCTTTCTTAAGTGTTTCGTGGCCATAAAGAATAAAGTTTAGTTTTTCCTGCCTGTTCTTACATTAATTTCTGTATCCAATATTTAGATCACAGAGTTGTTGTTCAAAAGTAATAAAATAATTCTGTCGAATGGGACAGGAGAAAAACACATGAATTGTGGTTTCATTTGTGTGGCCACAAACACAATCTGGCGAAAGAGTATTTACAAAGTTATGTGCATGTAAATGAGCTTTAAATATAAAATCCACTCTTATTCTGTTTAAATAGATTTCAAGTGATCTAGTGACATTGATATCAGATGCCAAAGTTATGTTTGTGCTCATCAAACTCTTTGTCAATGCCCTCTTAAAGGAATATATGTTGATGCACTCTCTTAAAGTTGGCTCAAGTGAGTTCCACTCTCCTAAACAAGAAAAAACACATGATCTATTTTGGATTGATGATCTTTTCGCGGGGATGTGATATGGTAAGGTTAATCTTAGATCTCTTATAGGTGCTCTTTTAAACTTTGCAAAAATAGAGCTAACATAATTCGGAGCATTCCCCTTATTAACTTTAAAACTAGGAACATCCTATGTAATTTCCTACGGATTTCGAGTGATGGCCAATTTAAAGTATGGAGTGTTTTGATGGTGGATGATCCGTGGATGACACCTGAGCAAATCACAGCAGCTTTATACAAAAATTAGAGTATATCATAAAAGTCAAAATGTGGCAAAATGTAAGAATTAAACATGAGTTGAAGATGTTTTCCACTGAGTTTTTTGATAAACTTTTCAAGTGGTTAAGTAGCTTGTCAATTTTGTTTGAGGCCTGAATAATGTGCGGTTCAAACGACAAATTTTGGTCAAAAGTAAAGCCAAGGTGCTTATGTTCATTGACTTTAGGAATTATATCACCACCAAGTAACATTGGTGGAGTTTGTAACTCTGATTTTTTTGGTCAAAAAAAGTTAGTTCTGCACTTTTGCTGGCCTTAAATTGCAATCTCCATTTTTGTGACCACTCATAAATATTATTAAGGTCAGTCTGCAGTAGAGCCATCTTATTATTTAGATCATGCTCTTTGATGGATTGATAAATAGAAGTGTCGTCAGCAAATAAGTAACATTTTGAGCTAATATTGTCGGTAATATCATTTATATACAAAAGGAACAGTAAAGGGCCTAAAATAGACCCTTGAGGCACTCCTGAATTTATATAGTTATCATCAGACCATTTAGATTCTTGGCCATCGATCACAACTCTTACCCTACGATTTTCCAGGTAAGATTTAATTAGGAAACAGATATTTTCCCCAAAACCATAACTTGCAAGCTTACTTAATAAATGAATGTGCGGCATTGAATCAAACGCAGCTGAAATATCTAGGAAAATACTTTTAACATTGTTACCATTATCTAAGCAATCTGTGATATAGTCAATTATGGTTAAAAGCTGGAGCTGGGTTCCATGACCAGGGATAAATCCACTTTGTAAGTTGTAAAGAAGGTTCTGATCCTGAAGAAATTGAAATAATTGATTAAAAATAATTCTTTCCGTAACCTTTGAAATACAGCTTAGTAGTGTGACCGGTCTGTAATTTGAGGGAGTATTCTTATCATTCTTTTTGTGGATTGGTGTGATATTACCAAGTTTCCAGCATTCGGGGAACTGGTTGGTCAAAAATATTTTATTGATTAATTTAGACAAAGGAAATGCGAGAGCAGGTGCTGAAAGTTTAAGCATCCTATTACTGATCTGATCAGGCCCAGATGCTTTATTAATATTTAGAGACATCAAAGCTAAATAAACCTCATCTCTATTTGTTGAAAGTATATCAAAAGACGCATTTGTACGTTTTTGGTCAAGAACAACAGGGTCAAAATGATCGCCGATGTGAAAACTTTTAAAAAAATGAGCTAAAAATAGATTTGCCTTCTCTTTACCGGTCATTACATTTTCGCCATTTTGGTCGACTAAGACAGGAATAGAGCTTAAACGATTCCCTGTGAATAATCTTGAGGCAACATTCCAATATGATTTAGATCCAAACTGTTGGGTTTCCATTTTTTTATCATGCGTTTTTCATGCTCATCTTTTGCTTTAGAGATTGCATCAGTGACTATGGCACACTGATCTTGATACTTTTGATAATGTTCATGACTGTTAGAGTGTCTGAATTTGTAATGGTATTTATTTCTTTTGTTAATCTGAGTTCGAATTTGATCATTAAACCATGGTTTATCATTTGATTTAACTTTAATAAGCTTGTTGGGAATACATTTGGAATATATATCAAATAAACAATCGGAGAAATTTTCACCAACATGGTTCATGTCATTTGAATTTTCGATGATATTTCAAAGGTTACTATCACGTATAGAGTCATTTAACACATTTACATCAACATTAGAATATTGCCATATTCTCCGAAAATATATTGGATTTTTCACAGTGCCCATTAACATTTCAAAACTTAGGGTACTATGATCTGTGTTGCCTACTGGAGGCGTTACGGTTTGAGATACAATCATGTTCGGAATGTTGGAAATCAGGAGATCAATGCAAGATCTGCTCGTTAACGTAACTCGCGTTGGTTCATTTATCAGTTGTGTCAGGCCAAGAATTCGCAATGAATTTAGTAAAATGTCACCTTCATATTTGTCAATGTCACCATTCCACCAATGCTTACTCCGTGCATTGAAGTCACCATTAATAACAATAATATTAGAAGTATTAGATTTTGCAAGTGAACAGGTGTATAATAGTAATAACTTTAATTGTAAAAATATTTGATGTACATAGAAATGAATGAGCTCGTCGCAAGAATTGCGGTGCTGAAAAGGTACATCATATCATATTTAGGCCAATCACTTAGTGTTCTGCTCATGTGATCTCACAATATCAAACTAAACAAATTAGCTCTTTCTTTTCTGCTATAGGAACGGAAGCCATGCTTCTATCTAAAAGGAATGCAGATAAATCGACAAAGGGATTTAGTCAGTGGCCATTTATGTCCGTCCACACATGGGGAGAAGACCCTAAAGGTGTTTGGAAACTAAGGATTTTAGACAACGTAAGTTGGGTCTATTAAGTAATTTGCAATAACTAGACTAGTTGCGTATATTTTAAATTGTTTTGCACTCGGACTTTTTCGAATCCTACGACAACTTTGATTGTGGCCGTACGCGCGAACCATTGGTCAGTCAATGTTTCTACAATGTTGGAGAGTGAACTACGCATTGCACACTTAAATGACCTACATCGATACATTTCTTAGTATTTTAGAACTATTTTTTATGGAGTTGAATCGCCAATTGTATGGGTTTATCGGCAGAAGTCTATCGGCGAAGAGATTTTCGTTTCTGATAGTAATAGGTCTCGTGTAATATTTAACTTATTTCATCCGTCAAATTCCTCCATTTAGTAGTACATCCGGTCCCGGCATGCACCAGTCATAAGGGGAATCCCCCTCCGACGACTTTCCGCCTTCTTCGAAAGTACTTCCATTTCAAAAACGAAACTCTCTTCGTTCTGCCGATAAACTCATTCAATTGGCGGTTGAACTACTTAAAAAGGATTCTTAAATACTCACGAATGTATCGAGGTAGGTCATTAAAGTATGCAATAAATAGTATTTTCTCCAACTTACATAAAAAACATTGACTGACCAATGATTCGCGCATACGACCACAAATGTAGTGGGGGTCGTAGGATGCGATAACTCTGGACTATGTAAATGTTAAAAATCGGCATCTTGGTTTGATCAGTAAGAAAACAGTATTGGGTCGATTACAGCATATACCGGATCATATACATTTCCACTTTAAATGTTTGGCAACATCAACACATTGTAACATATGCTAATGCCTGTTTCTTTTAAGAGTCATCATTCATTACATTCATATTGTGATTGATTTTTATTATTATTTTCCAGTCAGTAGACAACAATGCCGGCCACGTGAATGATATTCGACTTGTATTACACGGTACCCAAACTATCCCGGAATATGCCACAGAATACCCCAGAAAATATACAAATGATTGTGAATCGGTAGGTTTGCCCTTGATTTTATCTGAAATACAACTCGTTAAGATTATTGATATTACTCGTTGTGTCACTACCAAGAATGCTGACATGTTGATTGTTTGTTATATAGCTATCATTGGCCAAAATAGTGACATATTGTATATTATCTAGCTATCATTAACGAAGAATGGTGACATTCTGTTCGTTTTATAACTATCATTGACCCAGAATGGTAATATACTGTTTGTTATATAGCTATCATTGACCAAGAATGATGACACGTTATTTTTTATACAGCTATCATTGAACAAGAATGGTGATATACTGTATTTATACAGGTATCATCGACCAAACTGATGACATATAATTTGTTATACACGTATCATTTATCATACGTTCATGTGATTACATATTGTGCATGAATGTTTATATACGGAAACAAAAAAGATCCATTCACGGTATTATATATTGTTAGGCAACAAACTTTTATTTATGATTAAGTTTATATACGAAAACAAAAGAGATTTATTTGCATGATTAAATATTGTATACGATTATAGGCAAAAATCGTTTATGTATGATGACATTATATATTGTAAATCATTTTACCTATATATTTTCAGAATTATCGTAAGTTATTACAGCCATTTTATCAAATGTAAAAGATGCAAGGTTGTTCTTTGATTTATATCAATTTATGGTGATGGTCTTTTCTTTGGATACCGGTGAATGATAGGTGTTGGTTTGGGTGTCGGAAAATGTTGTTACCAATCAAAATGTGCAAACTGCAACCAGGCTCTGAGTGAACCTGGCTCTTATTGTTTTAATTGGTAACAATTTAATATGTAGCAACAATAGGAGTTGGTTGCATTGACCCCAGGAGTCTGGTTGCAGATTACACGGACCTGTTTTAGGGGCCCAGGTGCCAACAAATTATGAGACATTGGCATACACGCGTGTGTGATTGATGAGTGGATTGACCTACATGTATTGATCTAAAAATTATGAATAAGTAACAAATAACCATGCCATCTTAAAATATTTTCTCATATTTATGGAGTGATTGTGCTACAATGAATATATTATATTTTTCCGTATAATGTGAAAATCATACTATGCCACATTCGTCTAATTAGATATGTACCAATTTTCCAGAATGATTTTGAGGAGGATATACGGGAAGGCTTTCTTATCGCTCTGGATAAACTCAAAGAAGATCTAATGGGATATGGCCCCGAATATACCCCAGACCCATCTATCGACGTCCTTAATGCAAGGAACCAAGTCAGCCTTGATCTTCCTGCTTTGAAGGCTTACATCGAAAATCACGAACTGCTAAGGGAAGAACAAAAATCAGAATTATTAAATTATTTTATTAGCGACTTAGAAGATGGGAAATGAAATACAATACTTTGGTTGGATCAGTTGAGATAATCGCTAAATATTGTGATCACCTCTTCGATCACATACGACACCCTTTGGTCATATTAGAAACACTTCGATCATATATGACATGCTTTGGTCATGCATCAGATATAGACAAATAGTGTTTAACTAGCGTATTTATTTAATGCTACATCGAGATCAAAAACAATGCTGCTTTATTTTGGTTATTTGGTAGATAACATTTACGAGCATCATATTTTGTGTACTACTTGCTAGCCATCATAACCTGGTAACGTATCTAAGGCCCAACATATTAACCACTTGTTTAGCTGTACTGTTAACAGGCTTTGATTAACAAGGGCCTCAGATAGTATATTTTAGTATAATGCAGTCATGACATTGAGATAAATATACAATATATTGGTGCAGTATGTAATATAAAGTTATCATTATACCTCGTATCAGAGGTGAACATTTATTCAGAATTGTATATTTAATGCTTAAAAGAAAATATAAACAAGTTAAAAATAATAAATGCATACAAATGCAGGCATGGTATGGTTTAATAATAATTTTGACAAATACGAGGACCACCTCGGTAGGGGCGGACGCAATACTTGCACCGACTGCTTTCTAGTTTTGTTGTATACAGTAATATTATTCATGTATACGAAATCAAAAATATACCATTTTAACTAAGTAGGAATTCGCATCTTTGATAAGAGTATGATTTATTTATTAATTCAACATTAAAGGCAGAATCAGAGCAACAGTGATGATAATATGGCAAGCAAACTCTATCTCAATTTCTCAATTAGAAGATTTTAAATCACGTTGAAGTCTCGTTTTAATGAGATTTTCTTCCAATTTTCACAGACTAAATTATGTAATCTCTATCACCTCAAAAGTTTCTCTCGAAAGAGATCTGAGGCATCTTATCTATCGTATCTATGTGGTAAAATCTAATGTGTAAATGTGCATATTCTTTTAAACAATAAATGTTGGTCTTTCATGTGCATAAGTGATTTATTCATAAGTGATTTATAGGAAAAAATGAAAAATATTTTCAATATAAAAAACTTTAAACATCATATCATATACAAAACTGTTTTTAGAAAGGGTATGGTCGGATCTGATTCTGCCTTTAACAGAGTGTTAGATTAGATTGATGAATTATATCAGTTATAGCTATATTCTATTTTTGTAAGTTATGAATTCTAGTCGATCTTATTTATTTTTAATTACGTAAGATCTTGTATGTCCATGCATTTGACATACAGTTAATACTTCAAGAATTATGGTTTTGCTATTCATTTACGTTTATGAATACAGTTTGCATTTTGAAACAGGCGAAATAAAAAACAAAGATAATATAGTCATGGGTCAAAGCAATAGTTTAAGGGACAAAAACTTCTAAAATGTATTTATATGCCCGTCTCAGCTTTTAAATACGTCCATGTATTAAATATCAAAATGGTCTAAATTATTACATCTTGTAGGATACTGTTTCTATGGAAACAGGTTTGATGACACGTGTACTAATGTGTCCTATGGTGATATAATGTTCTATATATATTCATGTAATATATATTGTATATATCTACATAATATAGGCAGTAACTGTTAAACGTGGATGCAACTGTCATCGATGTCCATTCGCTTCCTTATGCCCCAAAATCAACAGAGAAAATAGATATCTTAAGGTATAAGTAATTTATTAAAGGTTATTAATGCCTATGTAATAAAAAATATACTGCCTAAAAATAAACGAGATTTAGATTCTAAATTTATTGCTTGTTATTCTTTGTATTGCATAACAAGGTAATTGTTTAAGTAATATTTTAGTATTGACAACTGACCTATATGATATCTCTATATTATAAAGGTCCCCCAACTTGTTACTTTGACGAGATGGAGGAACTACATTGCTTTGAGTTCGGTTAGAGTTTTTGTTATCTCAATTTAAAACCTACCTAAGCCAAGTTGCAGATTATAATTTGACTCGAATAAGCTATGATAATTATTACTTGATATTGTTTATAGGAGTCACTTCGAATTAATCTAAATAGATGTCACTCTTTGGATAGTTTGGATGGCGTTACTTAAATAATCCGATGATGTCTGAACTGACATAATTGAGCAGATCGTTGTTCCCTCTTCAAAAGAGGAGACGCAAAAATCTTTCCGTATAAGGTCAAAATATTTCCCATGATGCACTTCGCAGAGGAACAAATTTATACTTCATTTTCATTGTTTTCACCCATAGGTTTAACATGGGGATTTTCACACCTATTTTTCAAACGATATATTCGTTCATTTCCATTTCCTCGATGGCACGATTCTTAAAACCATGTGCTTGCGATAATATCCTGCTATTTGATTAGACATCGTAAAGACTGATGTACATAATTCTGATTACGTCATTTAGCTGGTAAACACTGTGAGAAATGAGTCTAAAAATAAACGTTTTATTTATAATGTCGGGTCATTGGATAGCTAGCCTTGTGAAAATAGCTATGCAAATTCCAGCCAACAAAATGAGCTAAATAAGGCGAGAATGCTACCGAATATTCTTCCTCCGTTTCAGGGGTTAACGCGTCCAGTATTTACGTCTGGTACAAAACCGAGATACTGGACGCACACCTCCATTTTTGATCCAGAGAGAGGTATGTGTGATTTTATTCGGTAGCCTGTGATCATTTTACAGTGTTTCTAGAAACAGGCTAATCAGATTCTCAGTACATTGAGGAACACACAATTCTTATAAAATGACAGTCATTCATCTCGATTCGTTGTAATGTGGGGTTAAGCACGGAAATACTTTGATTTTTCCCAGGAAATACACGAATACTGGAGGTCTGCGTCCAGTATTTCCAGTTGTACCAGAGGAAAATACTAGACGCGTTTCTATCCCCTGCGTTTAGTAAATGATAATCAATAACTTAGATTGCTTTAGAAAACGAAATTTGATTCATTTTACAGATTGACGCTAGTTTAAATAAAAAGAAGCTGCCTGTTCATCCATTCGTCCGTCTGTCCGTGCTCGGATACCGTTTCACACATAGCTAGGCCGAACACAGTATTTCATTTAAGGGCAGTAACTTATATCACCAATCACCGCATTCAAATTTGACCCTTGCAAACGGTTTCATTGGAAATATGTTCTTGTAGTGAGTTTTGTATCTTTTCGGTGATTTCATAGAAAATATTTTGCACTGTGTGAAAAAGTGGCCGCTTCATTCCACTTAGGCGTTGTTTCCTAATTTAAAACTTTGCATTCCCGCTGCCCAGTCATGCAATGGTTTTGAAACAACACCTTCAATTGAATGATTTGGCACACAATGCACTGAATCCAGGGCTTAAATCCTTAACTGACAATGTTTGTTCTTTCATGGGGTGGTGCCTTATGGACGTGGAAACTCGATGTGGAATTTTCTTGATTGCCGCGTAAGTACCGTTTAATGAATGTATTATGCGTTGTCTTGTAAAATATTTCTTTTCGTTCGATTAATTATTGGTTATCAATAATACGTTTTTAGTTACAGGAAGTGTTAAGAATGTTTAAAATGTATACCACTCAATAAATTGCATTGTGTCAAAGCGACAATGCATCATTCGGAAATGGACTTGACGATGATTGGTTATGGTACGCCCTTTTCAAACAAATAGGAAGCATGGTCAATATACGATTTATATATACGTTAATTTCAAGGATTGAATAGTATTTTAGAAAAAGGTGTTCAGTTGATTTGAGATCGCAACATTTTGGCAGGTGAAATCAACTGGGGATAAATATTCTTAAATAACAGTAAATAAGACAAACGTTGTGACTAAAATGTAAATACGGAGTATAGTTTGACCCTGAAACATGTCGATGACAAGCACTCTCGTATGTTTTGTTGTTTTATTACCAAGTTGTTGCTATGGGGATTTGAAGTATGCGTATTATGCAAGACAAGTTGGTCACATCTATGTACATGGCGGAAACGGAATTGGTTTGATTTCAAGTTTATCGATTCCTTCGAAGATGGAATGTTTAAAGAAATGTACGAATGAACCACAATGCTTCAATGTCAACTTTAAGCATGGTGAATCGTGTGAGATGTATGGACTTGCAGACGCGGGTTCGTATAGAACCGCTGCTGACGAAACTTTAGAGTCGTTCTCCATGCTAAGTGGATCAGCACCGATGGTTGTCATGACTACGCCAGGTAAATATAGCAAACACGATAAAACAAAATTATGTAAACAAGATAATAAAAACACAAAGCAGCAGGAAGGCTAACTTAATCTAAAAAGTTTTTTTTAGATTATCTGAGTTAAAAAACACAATTAATTCTGCATATTATCCTGAATATTAAAACGTGTTAAAAATCCATGGAAAAGAAAAAACATGTTAATATTGTGGTTTAATTTGACTTCCATTTGAATCTTTTTCATCTTACATGTAGGGAAGCATGTTACATGTTAACATGTTATGTTATTTAGGTCAACATTTAACTCCAAAACCACATTATATTCTTTGTAAAATGTATTATATATAGTAACAGATTTGCATTGTAAGAAAACAGATCTACAAATCTTTGCTGGGCGATTTCTATTGTTAATCTTATCATGCTTCTCATTTACAGTATCGCAGGATATTTTTTTTATTTTATCTTAAAACCCAATTAGTAGCAATTCAATAGAATGAACATTTTTATTTTAAAGAATGTATGGTTGTAACAAAAGAGAGTACATTTTTTCTCTATTGTTTTTGAAGAATGGAGACTTGGCAAGCTATCAAAAACCAGTGTGGCACAAAATACGTATTTCAATATAGTTGAATAGTCAATACAAAAGAAATCAAATTCAATAGCACTGTACGTATATTGGATCATTTACCTTCCATAAGAGCCAGTGTGGGTTTTAAGAAGTATGAACCATTTGCACTAGCCGTTAAAGAAAATAATGGCCTTTGGCCTACGGTACTCGGCCAGTATTTCAACTAACAGCCAGTAATCATGGTTTATACATAACATGACATTCACATTTGTAAATAATTTAGTTTAGATATATTTCTCTCAGTAAATTGCTCTTTTTGGCAGTTTTATAGACCCAACCTGTGAATAGAAATATAGATTTTTTTTTTTTATTATTATTATTAAATTTATTTCAATAGAATACAAAAAATGTAAATACAGACATGTAAATTCTTAAATCGCCACAATGGCATTATATAAGAATAGGGGGCAGGTGGAAGTAGAAGTGGCAGAGCAGGCAGGGTCTTGGACTAGGGCAGGTGTGACGGGACTTGAGGATACTAGAGATGGATAAGAAGGAGGGAATTAGCTATTGTCTTTGATAAAATTAACAATGAGAAGTAGTATTTGGGAATTTGCATCTATGTTTAATTTCGGAATTCCTGTTTTCAAAATAGCTATGAAATCAGTTTGAGAGAGATTATGACTGAAGATGTTTGGTTCGAGATCAGTGAGTTTGTCCATGAATTGCTGTCTTTGTATAGTAAGTAAGTCACATTGAAAGAGAAAATGTTTCAGAGTTTGTGGTTTTCCACAAGTGCAATTAGGGCTGTCAATAGACTGAAAGTTGTGAGCGTAGAACTGGGCTTTGAAGTATAGGTCAGCTCTCACTTTATTGAGAACTATTTCTTGAACCCTTGTTAGATTAAGCTGGCTTGTTGACAAAATCGAGGGCGTTTTTTGGAAATGTACTCTTTGGTGTTTTTTAAAATTCGAAAGAGTATTCTTAGATTTAATAGCAGGTGGAAGATTGATCCAATTTGAAATTGCAGCTGGTATTGCTGAGGTGGAGAATCTATTTGAGCATCTAATGGGCATTTTAAATGCTTCATTATATCTCAATACTCTGTTTGCATGGTTTCTAAATTTGTCAAAAATATCAGTTACATAGGGAGGACTTGTACCATTTACAATTTTGAACATAAAGTTGTTAATCTGGATACTGCGTCTTGATTCAAGAGTTGGCCAATTGAGTAGGTTTAAAACCTTTTTTGAACTGCTCCCTTGGATACACCCAGAACAATAAAGTGCAGCTTTATAATAAAGACTGTCGAGTCGTTGTAATAGGAACTTTGAGGCTGTGCTGTACATGATAGCACCATAGTCAAAATGGGGTAAAATAAAGGACTTAAATATGGTTTCTAGATGCTTACTACCTAACTTATATTTAAGTTTCTTTAAAGGGTTCAACATTTTTCGTATTTTTGATATGATTTCTCCAATATGCTTGTCATATGATAAGCTTGGGTCAAAAGTAAATCCCAGATGTTTGTGCTCGTGATCTCTGGTAATTTCAACATTGTTTAACTTTGAAACAGAAACATTATCGACTTTAGATCTGGATGAGTGGAATATCATTTCAGAACTCTTTTCAGGTTTAAACTCCAATTTCCAGGTGTCAGACCATTTTTCAATTTTAATTAGGTTAGATCTGGCTATTGCATCTACTTCTTGTGGATGCTTAGGGTCAAAAGGATGATGTAGAGAAGTGTCATCCGCATAAATATAGCAATGCCCCTCCAGATTGTCTGGAAGGTCATTAATGTATAGGAGAAATAATATTGGCCCAAGTATTGAGCCCTGGGGGACACCACAATTGATAAAGTCATTTTCAGAATAATTTGAAAGTTCCCCAGATATCTGTACAGCAATTTTTCTGTTAGTAAGGTAAGATTTGATAATTTTTTGAATTTGCCCTTGGAAGCCATATGCTGAAAGTTTATGAAGTAGTAGCTTATGTGGTACTCTGTCAAATGCAGCCGCTATATCTAGAAAAATTGTTTTGGAAGCTTTTCCTTGTTCAAATGTGCTCTGAAGAAAATGTTCAATAGATAAAAGTTGATGAATAGTACTATGACCTGGTAAGAATCCGGACTGATGTTTGAAAAGAAGATTATTGTCAATTAAATGCTTCCTGATTCGATCAGCTAAAACTTTTTCAAATACTTTAGAGATACAGCTTAAAAGAGTGATAGGTCTATAATTGTTGATGTTTGATTTGTCATTCTTCTTAAAAATTGGGCAAACATTTCCAATTTTCCAGATATCCGGGTAGGTACACTTTGATAAAAGTTTGTTGAATAAGTTGGCTAAAGGTTTTGAAATGGTATGGGCTGTCAAATTCAACATTTTGTTTGTGATGTTATCTGGGCCACATGCCTTTGAGGTGTAAATATAGATTATAATATTAATTACATCCAACACGAATACGTTTTGTTCAATTCACAACAAGCATTTCTGGGGAGTATCACAAATTCAATTATTAAATGTCTATCTTAAAACTCCCCGATGTTCAAATTAATATAAAATCAGATATAGATAAAGATAATTGCTTATCCGATACAACATTTAAAAACACTCAAACCATATTACATATATGTAATGTATCAGAGAAAATCATGAAACATGAGATCGCGAATGGTCGGATTTCTGGCACACTCAATTAAATCTTCAGATAAGTATTGCATTCTACGAGCTGAAAAATAGGTCAACAAAGGTTAAATTGAGGTCAGCGTGACCTAGGGGATGGCCTATCGCGTAATAGTCTATTGATCTCTATGTTAAGACTGACTTAGTACGAACTTGTGCGACATTGATCTTCAAACCAGGTAGTTAATCGATTTATTCTATTTTTTGTTTCAATAGCTCCAGATTGCGAATCGTTTGGATATATAGACGTCGGTGTGGCTGGTTCCTGCTATTACATGGATACAACTTTATGTTATGTTATGTTATGTTATTTTATTTACCATCTACAAGATGAGTACATATACATAAATATGTTACAAAAATAAATATACGAAAAATACTACAAGTTACGCAATGTTAACGATGGACTAACTGCTTGTCAATCGCACTCTCCACCAATGAGTATTGTTTCATTTGAAAACGAAGACGAGTACAACAAGATACAGTTACATTCATCCTATTCCTCAGGTATTGCACCAAACTGCTAACTTATATAAGCACCGCACATAATTTCCCTGGTGTTGTGCCCCAATACTAACCTAAACGCTGCATAAAATATTCGGAACTTGTACCACATAAGGCAATGCATGTTATCTATCAGCCTTTTACATCATTACTAATTTAAACACTGCATGCAATTTCTCAGGCATTATACCCCATTATTAATTTAAGCATTGCAATTTCTTGGATTTATATACCATTACTTACTCAAACACTGCACTCAATTAATCGGGTATTACACCCCATATGACTTTAGCATTGCATTGCATTTCATGGAAATTTATTATACCCCATTATAAACTTGGTACCGCAAACAATTTTTTCAGAAATACCCCATTACTTTTATAAGCTTAGCCTTTGCATACAATTTCTCGGATGTTTTACTCAATTACTAACTTTAGAACTGCAAATAATTTCCAAGGAATGGTACCCAATTACAAACATTACCGTTCAATCCAATGTTTAAGGTATTGTTCCCCTCTACTTGGCATCCAGTTTCTCGAGTATTTTATCTCATTACTAAATTAAACATTGCATCCATTTTCTCTGCTATTGCATGTAAAGTATCAGATATTGTCTTCTTGTGTTCATTATTGAAGTTATGTTCTGTATTTGATATACTTATTATTGCAGCTTCCTGGTGGAACATTGGTCTTAACGACATTGATTCGGAAATGCAATATGTCTGGTTCAACACAGGAGCTCAACCAATCTGGACTAATTGGGAACCTGGTAACCCTTCTGCTAACACTGCAAGCAACTGCATTGTCATGAAACAGTCAACTGGGAGGTGGTATATCGTTGACTGTGCCACAACTTCGTTATTGGCGTTTACAATCTGCGAATACAATTACTAGCCTGGCCACCACTTCGTTATTGGCGTTTACAATCTGCGAATACAATTACTAGGCTAACTATGCCACCACTTATAGCCCGTTGTATCGACTGTGAACCGACCTCGTTCTCGGCGTTTACAATCTGAGAAAATAATTATCAGTCTGAATGTGCCGTTCTTTACTGGCGTTCACATTCTGTGTGTTATTACAATTACAAAAAAACCACTTTGTTCTTGGCGCTAATAATATGTGAATATATTTACTAGCCAGCCTGACCGTGCAACCACTTCGTTATTGGCGTTTACAATCTGGTAATACAATTACAAGCCTGGCGTAAAATTCACTTCGTTCTTGCTTCTTCGTTTTGCGTTTACAATATTTGAATACAAGCACTGGCCTGACGTAAAACCACTTCGTTCTCGACGCTTACAATGTTAATACATTTATGAGTTTGACCATGTCATCACACCGATATTGGCGTTTAGAACATGTAAATACAATTACTAGCCTTACTGTGCAACCACTTCGTTATTGGCTTTTACAATCTTTGAATGATGGCCGACAATACGATCATGTTATTTGTGTTTACCATCTGTAAATATATTCATCAACTCGACTGTGTTTTTTCTCTTTTCTTATTGGCATTTACAGTTTGTAAACACAATTTCTATAACCATCGATTTATTGTTTACAATCTGTAAACACAATTTATAGCCTACACAAACTGCACTACCATCACGTTGTTGTCGTTTACAATCTTTGAACACTTTTCTTAGTACCAGTGTTTAACAACGTATCCTTTAATATAATTCAAGTCGTCTTTCATCTATGTTTTATGTTTACTGGATTTAAGACTTATTTTACATTATTTAGCGCAGTTTGTCATAAAAAATATATATAAATGTTTACGTTCAAGCATTTTGATTTCAGTCAACAACCATACAAGCCTCATTATTCGTACGATATCACATTTTTACGTTTATCATTGTATTGTAACATTTCCAACCGACCATCTCCCCTGTCTGACATCTTATACGATTTTTTGTATTCACCATTTAACGTAACCATTCCATGACCAAATAATATGTGTATATGAATACCGTTACACGCCTGCCCAAAAGAGTGCATATAACCTTTCCCCCACTTGTTTCCGACATTCCATCCCTGAGAGGGTACATGGTCCATATTTCTAACAGGCCCGTCCAAGTTGCATTCATACGTATTACCTCACACAGGCCTCCTAGACTTCCATCAACGCGAACATCAGTTCTGACCTCGCGAACTACGTTCCTTGCACTCGAACCACGAATCTCACGTCACGAACGTGAAATCGTATGTCGCGCACCACCCTTTCCTCTTTCCCGAACATATTTCTTCACTCAAAAACAGAGATCTCCGTGCTCGCGAACCACACGCCTGGTCGAAAAAAGTCTGTAATTCTATTTGTATTATTACGCATAACTAAAATTCAAACGAAGTGTTTTTATTTGGATTTCGGGAGTAATACTTTCCAAGTTTTTCATGCATGTTAATGAATATCCACAAATTGAAGATAACAGTATATTCACGCTCCAGGAAACTCCAGGATCTCTATGTTTGGGATCGAAGAAATGGTAGTGCGCGACATAGGATTTTTACGTTCGCGACGTGAGAATCGTGGTTCGAGCGCAAGGAACAAAGCTCGCGAGGTCAGAACTGATGTTTGCGTTGTTGGAAGTCTGAATTTTGCACTCTATTTGTATAAATGTACCTCTTTTGAATTTCTCTCCATTTTCCATAATTTGGAAATCCGCAGTGGATAATTTTTTGGTCGCTTATGACACCCCTTGTGTCAATTTTAGCCTCTAACTCTACAAGTTAACAACGGTTTTTCAATCAGATGGTCATATTATTAGGAAATAATTTATCTTTAAAATGATAATTATACAATACATGGCATGGTTTAACATCATATGATATTCATCCTTAAACTTGGGTATTGTTTTTTTGGCCCACCCTGTATATATATTGATTTTCATATTGTAGCTTGTTTTTATCACATGCATTCTATAATTATATTAAAGAACTATTTCACTTTGATATTAGGTAATCAATGTTGCATTTGATGGATTTAAGGTGCGACGTGATGTGTTTACAAATACAATGAAGAGGTTAAGATAAACTCTTAAGATCCGAGTTTGAACTTATTTCTAGCAGTTTCTTACAAAATCACTTTTTACTTATTGACTATTGATTTCCTGTTTTCAATGCCCTCTCAAATTTTAATGAATGGAATTTTTTCAAAGACCGTCCAGGAATAGCAAATTTAATACATTTGAAGCAAACAACATTTCTCATTTCCCAGGGATTAATCCGTCAAAATCCATTGAAATCTTGGAGAGTAATTTTACAGCCACTCTGCATTAAAAATTTTGGCAATTCTTAAGTAAAGAGAATATACTGATTTTTGTTAAATACCCAATATTCCATATATTTGACCAACAGTGTATCAACCATTATATGACAAATACATAAGTTACGCATTAGTAACAAGAACACCTCATCTATTTGCAAATTATTTATTTATGCAACAAAATAAAAATGATACGCAAAATTCATCATCTACTTGATTGCGCCCCTTATTTGTCGTCTAATTAGCTGATTGCTATTATTAATTTATAGCCAGCTGTAATAGTTTACATTCCAGAAGATTAAGACTTTTCGTCGTTGCCAGGAGCTCATTCAAGCAGATCATGATCAAGAACCTGAAAAGGACTTAGAAATAGTTTAGTTTTTATGGTTTCTTTATTTTACTTTACAAAATTATCTACAAATGACAGGGCCAAGGGCCATTTGTTAGTTTTGTAATGAACTTTGTTTCGGCTGATTCTACGGAGCTAACATACATGAAAGGAATGATGAAATAAATTGATAGACGATTTGGTATGGTCGAGTCGACGCTTGCAGATATCCAAACATTGATTCAATGGTCAAACCTTGAACTGAGTCTCATACAAATCGAAAATAATGTTCAAACGATGGACAGAGCATACAAAAACTTTTATGAATTAGAAGGATCGGCTTCAGATAAAATGCGTGATTTTAGCACTTCATATGAATCAGCATATCGACTCAGTGGATCAAGATTATACGAGCTGGTTGTTCAAGAAAGTTCGTTTACCGACAGTCTTGGCGTAGCAATTATGAAAAAACAAAGTACGACCGCAAAAAGACAAACGATTATCTTCTTGGGATTCTCAAGATCATCTTGCAAGGTATGCGAATTGAACTTGCCTATTGCAAAATGCAATATGGCGGAACATATTATAATTCCATGCGAGGCGAATGGCAAAGTAGAATTGTCACAGTAACTGAAAAATTCAAAGAGATTGATGACACTGTAACAAACGCGTTCCTCGTGCAGTCAAAAGCGGACACCAAAGAAACTGCTCATGACAACCGGCCCAATTCCATGGGTAACTTAGATTTTAGCGTCAAGGTGTGTAATAAGTTAAAAGAAAAGTATTACTGGCGAGATTGGTTATGTGCAGTATGGGATGACGATGTTTCTTCAAACGAATTCAGTTACACATTGTGTGGAGGCTTTTTTCTCCGTTGGGAGTATGGACGCAACATCCTTGTGTCAAGCCGAGACAAAACTGCTCCAAGGATGAACGTAGCCAATGCTAAGGCAGAGTTGAACAAGTTTACGTTTAAATCTTATGTGGGTATTAGTTATGATGGTACAAAGATAATCAACCATAGCTCGAGAGCCAATACAATTTTTGACGTAATAAACGTAAACGATGCATGTTGCATCGCTGTTATTAAAAAGCATGCTAACACATACTGGCATAAGTCAGATTACACTAGAGTTGCAACTAAAGCCTTGCACATTTACTGGTGGGTTGTTATATTTGGTTAAACAATTGAACAATGTTTTATGTAACAAAAACTTCAAATAGTTCTCTGAAAAAATAATTGGACAAATAATGAGGTCAACAATGACAACTAGATTAAGGATGCTGATCAAATAAAATAATATTTATTTTTTGTATTTTATTATAATCTCCCACATAATCATGGTTTTGTGCTGCTTCACATTCGGACATTAAATTCTTTTTAACTATTGCAATAGTTTAGCATTGCTATGTTACGAATATGACCCTTGCTACGTTTTACGGATATAACCCTCGCTATGTTTTACGGATATGATCATTGCTATGTTTACGGATATGACCTTCGCTACGTTTTACGAATATGACCATGGCTATGTTTACGGATATGACCATTGCTACATTTTACGGATATGACCCTTGCTACGTTTTACGGATATAACCCTCGCTATGTTTTACGGATATGATCATTGCTATGTTAAACGGATATGACCTTCGCTAAGTTTTACGGATATGACCATGGCTATGTTTACGGATATGACCATTGCTATGTTTACGGATATGACCATTGCTACATTTTACGGATATGACCATTGCTATTTTTACGGATATGACCAATGCTACATTTTACGGATATGGCCCTAGCAACGTTTACGGACATGACCATTGCTATGTTTACGGATATGGCCCTCGCTATGTTTTACGGATATGACCATTGCTATGTTTACGGATATGGCCTTCGCTAAGTTTTACGGAATCAGCTAATTTTGTCATAGTTTGAGTAAATTTTCTCTCTTGAATGTACCCAAGTATTTCCTTCCCAGCAGTCAAGCCTTTCTCCATTTGGTCCTTTTCGTCAGCGGTTAAGCTTTCAATGTTCGGTACAAACGCCAAAACTATCATCGTGAAGAACCATGCACCTAGAGGAACACCTAAATACAAAAAGGGTGGCTCTTAAAGTAAATTATGAGCGATAGTAATGCAGCTTATTAGTTGATAATGATAACGATTAGAAAAGCTTTTTGGCATGATAGTATATTATAAGACCTGATATTGAAACTCTCTTGTGCATCGCAAATAATTGATTTCGTAGTTAATCTACCCACAAAAAATGATCGGTTGGAAAATTTGGTTTTTCATATTTCCTTTGATCATTTTTTCCCCTGTCGCCTTAGAAGAGTGTCGATTATTTTCATAAGAATATGTTTCTCTAAACTACACAATTTAGGATGAGTGAAGATTTGATAAATATTATCTATTGTTTTTTTTTTGTTTTTTTTTTGATAAAATTTATTTCAGTTTAACATAATTATTTACAGGTATGGTACAAAGATGAGGTTTCAAATTCATAAAGAGTATTTAAGTTACTCACACATTTTTCAATATACCATTTGTGAATAGATAACTTTGCTATCAGCATATTTTTGTAATTCTTTACTTTACCTATTCCATATATTTGATTGGCAGTTATATTTGGGAAATGTTTAGTCCAAAATTCAGCAACTGCTTTGCATTTAACAAAATGATGCTCTAAATTATCTATTTCATCACAGCTTGTACATTTGCTTGAATTTAAAATACCATATCTATGCAGTAAAAGATTACATGGATATATTGGATGTAAAATCTTCCAGTGTAGTATAATAAGGTCTGTTGCTGTTGTACAATTTTTTGCATTAAGCCAGGTTTTTCTTGTTAAAACTTCATTTTTGAATACAATTTCACAAACCCGTTTTTCTATTAAAATTTTCCTAAAATCTTGAACATTTAAGTACTGCACATCTGTATCATTGAAGTATAAAGTATCTTCTGGAGCTACAATTTGATATTCTAATATCATCTCCCTTTTGAGTGCTTGTTTCAAAGTTTGATATTGCATCCATGTTTCAGCATTTCTGCCTACTGAGGAAACAATTTCATCATAAGAAATAATCTGGCCATTTTTGCAAACATCACATATAAAATTTATTCCACACTTAACCCAGCTTTGAAAATACAATTCTTTACCTGTAGCTTTGATATTTTCATTATGCCATAAAATAGAGCTGTCTTTGAACTTATTGTTTGATTTCCATAGATATAATAGTTCGCTATAAAATCCTAACAATTTATCAGTATTCACAATATTTTTAAAAACATTATTACATTGAAATATGGTTAAATCTTTACATAGGGTACCATACAAATACAGAGGTATTTTCCTCCAGCTGCCATTTCCATTTTCTTGTAGCTGTTTGACCCATATCAAATATATTAATCATTTTTAATCCTCCATTTTTAAAATCTTGTACAATTATTTCACGTTTAACTCTTTCGGGAACATATTTTAAATCATCTTCCTTGAATTTTCCCTTCGCCCATATAAACTTAAATAACATTCTGTTAATCCTTCTAAGAAGATGTTCAGGCAATATAAAACTTTGCAGTAAATATAAAAATTGTGAGGAAAGAAAAGACTTTGCTAATGTTATCTTGCCTAATAATGTGAGATGTCTCTGAGACCAAGATTTCATTATATTAACACATTTTTGTATTTTTGGCTCAAAATTGTCCTGTACAAGATCTGTTACACTGGTAGTTGTACAAAATGTAATACCCAAAATTTTAATTTTATTATTTGGACTTAGCTTCCAATTAATATTACCCAAGGTATCTTGTCTATATTTCCATGTTCCGAGCCACATGGCTTCAGTTTTGTTTTTATTAATTTTCAGACCTGATATTATTGAAAATTTGTCGATCAATAACATGGCATTGGCAAATGAAGCTTCATTTTTCAAAAAAAGGGTTGAGTCATCTGCATATTGCAACAACTTGAGCCCCATGTCACAACCAGGTATTTCAACACCCTGTATATTGCTATCTTGTCTTAGTTTACATGAAAACAACTCTGTAGCTAAAATGTAGCAGATCGGACTGAGTGGACAGCCCTGCCGTAGCCCTCGATCTAAATGAATGGGGGATGTGCCATTTATCCACCCATTATAATTAATGAAATTCATACAATTTGCATTTAAGACTTTCACCCAATTTATAAAGCTATCTCCAAATCCATACATCTTTAAGGAGTCAAGCATAAATTCTTTAGAGATTGTATCATACGCTTTAACATTATCTATTGCTAATAAAATACCCTGTTTCTGCTCTTTATCAATAAAATTAATTACATCATCAATGGCTCTTAAAATCATACCTACTGATCTATTTTTAATATAACCACATTGATCTTCATGTACCAAGTCTGATATAACAAGCTTTAGTCTTAACACCATAACTTTAGCTGCTAATTTATAGTCCACATTACTTAAAGTTAAGGGACGCCAATTTTTTAGCTTATCTTTCGGAAGATTCTTTTTGGGTAAAAGAGCCATTATACCAACTCTCTGTGAACATGACATAGAACCAGTTTCAGAGGCAGCATTGAGGGAATTCAGAACCAAAGTATTGAGTTTGCACCAAAACATTTTGTAAAAACCTGCAGTGAGACCATCAGAGCCTGGACTAGACTCATTACACATTGTTTTAAGTGCTTGTTTACATTCAAAATCAGTAATTTCACCTTCACACTTTTGAGCCTTTTCATTTGTTAAAGATGGTACATTAACATCATGCATAAAATCATCTAAATCTGCTTTACGATATGTATTTGGGTTTTTGTATAATGCTTTGTAAAATCTATTGGGTATAATTTTAAAAAATCAGAAATGTACGTTGTCAACTCGACGTTGTCCCATTGAACTAACATACACTACCCTCCATACGTTTGGCAACCTTAGCTCCCCCATTGAACTACGTGTTAAAGCCTCTTTACATTTGACATTTTATTTACTTAACCTGCGATGAAATAAGTTATAATATTGATAGAAACGTAACTTGACTTAATTTCCAATACCTCCAAATTTTCCCCTTTTTTCCTCAATTACAATTGGTCGAAGATTGATGATAAATTTGATGAATTTTTGAAAACCGGCATCCCCATATAAACCGATGGGAAATTATGGATTCGGGGCAATATTTTTTTTTCATTTCTCATTTATTCCATATATAACATAAAAGAAAACACATTACACTATTATTGCCTACGTTTTTCAACATTGTCAGCAATATACAAAACATATAAAAATGGAAACAATGAAAATACAATAGATAAGGTACATAATATTAATGGCAGGGAATGTTAGAGGCTTTCGGGGGGTTATCTAAAATATCAAGAGCCTGGCAGATGTAATGGCTTACTATATGAATAATTTGTTCATTATCAGTTACTGTGAGATTTCTGTCTCCAAATAATAAAGATTGAATTTTTTCATAAGAGTTTAAATTTTGGAAACGATTGAAAAATCCTAACGTTTTTAGTCCTGCTAGGAGAGTGCATCTTTTTTGTTGCAGCAGAGGGCAGTTTAATAAAAAGTGATGCGTTGTTTGTTGTATGTCACCACATACGCAGAAAGGGTCATTTACTGTCACAAAGTTATGGGAATATAAATGTGCTTTTAGAATCAGTCCAGCTCTAAATCTATTGAACAGAATTTCAATTTTCCTTGGCATTGTCACATTCATTTTAGTAGTGGATACTCTAGAGTCAGGGCTCATATTTCCTCTTACTAACCTTTTAAATCTAGATATTGGTTGGCCTTTCCTGTCCTCATATGGTATGTCATCCCACAGGGTCAGAGCCCTGATAATGGTTGACTTTTTGAACGAATTACTGATAGGAAATGGTATTCTTTAATGCCTTGGTTGTCTTAGGAGCCGATTTGGAATATTCTCGTATGAGCTAACTAAATCACAAATGAAAGGAGGGAAACAATGGTATCTAGCCTTGAAAGCAAAAATTTTAAGATGTTCTTCTCTCCTGGAAGCTAATTCAGGTTCGGGGAAAATCAGGAATCAGGATATCTATTCAGTAAAAGATTCAGGGAAAAAATACTTTTATATAAACAATTGAATTGTATTTTTTGAACACAAAGTGTATAGTTTACTTGATGAATACTAAAGTTACAGAGCTTCAAAGTCATTTTTAAAAATCATTTTCGCCTCCTGTTTTTATTTCAAAGTGAGGTTTTTTTTAAAAACAATTTTGACTTTAAATACCTATGCCTTTGTATCAATTTTTTGTTAAATAAAGTCAGCAAATTCAATTGCCTACTTAACTTGTATTTTTGGCAAGGACTCGGATGAATGGATATTCTGTGGGAATGTCGATTTTCAAAAATCCATCAAATTTATCATCAATATTCGAAAAAATTGAGAAAATTTGGAGGTATTGGAAATAAAGTCAAATAACGTGTCCATCAATAGTTTAAGTATTTCCATCGCAGGCTAAGTAAATAAAAATTCAAAGGTAAAGAGGCTTTAACACGTAGTTCAATGGGGGGGCTAAGGTTGCCAAACTTATGGAAGGGAGTGTATCTCAATTCACTGTAGACACCGTATTTTTCATACAACAAAACGGGCAGGGGGGTCAGATGCATTTAAAAGTAAAACTCAACAATAACAGTATTACTTCAACTTGATTAATTACTGAACCTCTGCAATTTCCACTTTTTCATAGCATAAACGGGATTTTAAAAAGTCGTCTTCGACTCGCTAGTATATTTATATTTTTGATCATTACTGCACATTACAAGAAATTCTTACAAATATACACTTCTTATAACCAAGCAATATTCTCTATTTTATAGTGTTGATTTCAGATCATTTTGGTCATCTAAATTCAGTTTATTGAACAATTAAGTTTCTCTTTTTGGAAATAAAACATGGCTCGATACACATTCTTATAATGAATTCAACATTATGATTAAATACAAAATTTCAAAAAATATGTTAATTTGTCCATTGTCTCCTTAATATTACTTCTTAACTTAATTATCATTATTTATATACTTTTCTTACTGATAATGAATGGGTCTAAAATATGCACCCGTGTTCATGATAAGAAAATTCATTTTCCAAGATACAATCGGCTGAAATTGTTTGCGATAACCTACGCGCTCCTTTATATAAAAATTTTATTTTTAAGTATATATAAATTTAATTTGTCTGAGTATCTCTTTCTATTAAACATGGAAATGAGAATGTTAGCCCTTTTACGCAAATAATATTTCACAAAGGAGTCCAAAAAGTCATGGTGCTTATTCTCGACACATTCAGCCTTACATTAACACTCCGGGGAAAATAGTTATATTCTACATTAGTCAATCTTTACTAACCCTACTATCACACCAAACTTCATGAAACTACTAGAACGAGTAGGTCCTCAAGCACTTGGAGCATGCTCAAAATTTTCTGGTGATCGTCAAATCGTTGCCGAATCGGTTTTAAACTGTGTGCGAACTGAATGAACGTAGCTACAACGTTCTACGGTCTGTTTACGAACTTCATGGACTTTCCCGGACGGGGTTTCTGATTCAAAATTCGATGGCGACCATACCGTTCTGTAATCAGGTCAGGATGACCTTCTAGACTAAGGGACGGTTCATACTACGTTGCACACCGACGTGGTGCGACCTGAACGAACTGCGAATGAGATGGACGTATTGAAGACTGTTTATGAACGAAGAAGCTAATTATTTTAGACATATATTCCGACCGCAGCCAGATTGAGCCCGTTTTACGACATTTTCGTAGGACTGGCAAGAACGGGTAAGAACTAGTTTGGTGTGATAGCGGGGTAAGCTTGGAGGCAATGTAGAATGTCACTCGACTTGTTGGTGATTTTGAATCTGTAGCATTTTGACATCTCCTTCTTATTTGCCGCACTCGACCTTTAATTGTTTTGCTCGAATCAGATAGAGAGTCACTTCGGGTATCGACACGTCTCCGATCCTTGCATGCAAAAACGTCACCTTATATACCCATATCATTTTATCCAAACAAGATAAATTGCTATGGATAATGCTTTTTGCATTTTGATATTAATAATTTAGCGTTTATGATAAAATTTGAAGTGAAGGGACAAGTGTGGATATTAAATAAAATACATTTATATTGCAAGATATTCATTATTATTAACTGACATTTATTTCATTTTTAGCTCATGAGTTTAGAGTTATTAATGAACTGCAAATTACTTTTTATATTTCCATCAAGATCAACCGAGACCTTTCAATAAACGTCCTTAGTGTACTAATCGACAAAAATTGAAAATGGAAGGAACATATACAAATTAAATATATTCTCAAAATGTTAAAAGCTGTAGGGATACTTTTCAAAACAAGATACTTGATAGTTTACTTTAACGCAATTACTACATATCTACTCTCAATTGCAAGATCAACAATGCATTTAAATAGGTGGCGAGGTAGATCAAATGTTAAATTACTTGCCGTGCAATTAAAGTTTCCCTGAAAATTGGATAGTTTAAAATCAGACATTTGATATCTACCTCCTGGACATTCTTTTTTATGTTGAAGTACTTCAAATAACAGTTCATACGTTACATGTCTCTAAAGCTGTCACATTTAAGCCGTATGGGCACATGTACACCCTTCGCCATCACACCAAAGAAAATTAAAATTAAAAAAATGCAAAAATTAATTAATTAATCAAAAAATATTGCCAAAAATTAGCCACACGGTGGTGAACTGTGAGCCCAAACGATTAATGTGACAGCTACTTTAAACTTATATTGCAAGAAGATCAAAATAAAATGCCTAAACATAATTGAGTTCAAAGGATTTCACAACCTCAATATCGTTTATAGAAAAGGGTAAATATCTCATATAAGGATAACGTTTCAATATTTTTTCCAAAAAATAAATGTCTGACTCTTATTGCACAAATTCATGACTATTTCACCATATGTTTTTTTTTAATTTTGAAGATGGTCTATATTTTAATCTTGATAATATAAAAATGAATTCTAGACACGGATATGAATGATGATATCGCATTATTGCGGAGTCGAACAACTTTTATCAGTTTTGCCTGAGTTTTTAATATTCCACATGTGATGCGAAAATTTCCGATGAAATGTATTGAGCATGGATTTGATCCAAACATATTTTTCAAAACTTAATTTGTGCAGGTAGGATGAAAGACGACAATGATATGTTTTTGAATACTTTACTAAATGTTATATGTCGAAGCTCTACAATCTAGATTTCGTTTATTTATTTTTGTCTATAGAATGATTATATATTATATATTATATTATGATTATATATTATTCCAAGCTACGACATACTATTTACGATAAATACTGTATGCATTTTGGACTTTTCCTCTGGGACTTTTAAATAAAATTCTTTATATAGATAATTATTTCAGTTAATTAAAGTTGCAATAATTAGTGCAATGGGGCCATTCAACGATCATGAACCAGTGTAAAAATATATTAAAGTTTGGATATTTCATTGAGACTAACATCTAATTTTATTATCTACAAAGAAACCCCCTAGACAAACATTTCAGCTGACATTCCTCTTGAAACATATATCTTAAAGATATAAAAGTGGATTTCCCCTTTTTGAAGCTTTGAACTGAATTAACACTTCTTAATGCTGAAACTAATAGTTTATCCATACATTTTAAGAAAATAGGTATGCCAAAGAAGATGTTAAGCCAAATGTTGCCCTGATAGCTCAGAAAAAGTTAAAATGTTCCTATTTTCTCTCTACAGGCCTTGTTGCCCCCCCCCCCCCTTAATATGAAAGGTATATTTAGGGATTTCAAGCAATATGTCTCAAGAAATACCCTTTTTATTAGGAAGGGTTCAGGGGCCTAATCCATGCATGGATACATATAATTTTGAAAATTTGGAATCGAGAGAAATCTGGGCCCTGCATTTTAAACTCACCCTTACGGGAAATATATTCTCAAGATTAAAACTGGATAAAACGCAACTTATTCTAGTTTAACTTACAATGGTTACTCAGGCATACAGTCTAATATTGAAATAAAAAAGTAAATAAGAAATATATATATATATTGTTGGTATGATTATTGACTGTTTTTATATAATTTTAGTGTAATGATACAACTTTTTTCTAAAACATTCCATATACTTTCTTATATCTATTTCTCATTCATCATCTAAATGTCTCACTGGAAACAGGTTCGATTCCTGGTTAAGCAAATGATTTAGCTTTGAGGGGCTAGACGGTCTTAATGCAAAACAAATGAACCTACTTTTGACTCACTTTTACAAAGCATATCTTTTAAATGGGGGAGGGGTGGACAGTTTTAAAGCAATATCAAATACATATTACATCATTTTTAGCATCAACGGACATTTCTATTACAAGCTAGGAGAAAAATTCACACGAAAATATATGAATTATTGCATTTTTCTAAAATATTGACTGACAATAATATTTGATCAAGCAGGCGACTTATATCATTGTTCTGATCATTCATATGAAAGATAATGATTTATGTTTTAGTGGGTTCAGTATGTATAGTGCGTTAAGTACGTTTAACAGTTATTCCCTGATGACACCAATTAATCTAGTTCTCAGAACGTTCTTAAATCACGTCTCATAAAAGCATAAAAAGGATTATGTCTTGGTAAAATATTCTAGATTAAGAGGGTTATTTGTTCATCAACTGTCTTAAAATTATGAATCTACAAAAGCGGTAGCTTTTTACCTTCTGCAAACTTTCATAAACTTCTATATAAATTGTGATGCCTCGTCTTGGACAATATTTTGATCGTCTATGGACGGACAGATTAATCTATATGTCCAGTATTACCCTTTGCATTCGTTCGACTTTGCTTTTTAAAAGAGTGCTTTGTCTAAAGTTTGTAGGAGGTAGTTTATGACCAGACTCTGCAGGCAGGGAAGTCGAGCATACGTATACAGTGTGAACAAAACAGAACCGAAGTACAAGTTGATCGAGATAATTTATTTTTCTTATTGTCATCTTTGGAAACCCCGTTTAATTACGTGATTTGGTTAAGTTTTGGCCTGATTTCTACCCTAGGATAACGAGCTACAACGAGGACACGAACAAACTTTGAGCACTGCTCCAAGAGTGCAACAACGATATTCTGTCCCATATATTGGCATGTCTTGATACAAAATTCGAATTCAAACAGACGCCATTTTGTTCACTTCAACATTTGAATCGTGAATTTTGGTCTTATTTCCTGACGAAAAATTCCAAAACTTCAGAAAATTTTGTTTTCTTGATTTGATTACCATTATCCATCAAAGGACGATTCTCGGTTTGGAGAACAGTCTCCTGGGCTAATACTTTTTTTCATGAAAAATATAGAAATATTACCCAAATTAAACTATGTACATTCAAAAGAGGACATTTAAATCTACAAGATGCAAAAATAACAAATTGGTCTGAAGCAGGGATAACGCTCAATTAGACCGATTCAATAAAATACAAGTCTCGATTTCGGGAAAGAAGTTCATCAGTGTACTGCACTAATATTTTTTGGCGAAAAATCTAGAAATATTACCCAAATTAAATTATCACTATTCAAAGGCATTCAAATCTATATTAATGTAAAAAAATCAGATTTGTCCGAAGCAGGGATAATGCTCATTTAGATTGATAAACTTCGTTCTCCAAACCGAGATTCGTCCTTTTAACTGTTATACGGCCCATGCGTACGTAGTGCGTGGATTCCGGTTTTGAAATATGAAGTAATTATCTCGATATTTACAATCGGTTCCCTCGCCTCGGAAACAGTTCGGAAGACAGTTTTCCGTCTTGTAGGAATAATACGAAGACATATTTTACAAGCAACAAAGACATTCGTTTTTATCGTACCTAACAAAAGGTACGATATTGTAGTCAGCTTGGCGGGCGTGCGGGCGAGCGGCGGGCGGCGTCTCACTTTTCAGCTTGTCTACAGGTTTCCAGCCAAACCATTTGAGGGATTCATCTGAGGGATGTTTCTACATATCAACGTCAAGAACAGATTAGTTTTTGGGCATTCTGGGTAAATTTTAAGGTGGCCATTTTGGATTTTCTGTCCTAAAATCTTCACTTTCAAGACTTGTCTACAGATTTTCAGCCAAATTATTTGAGGGATTCATCTGAAATTTTCAGGGATGTTTCTACATATCAACGTCAAGAACTGATTGGTTTTTGGGCATTCTGGGTAAATTTTAAGGTGGCCATTTTGGATTTTCCGTCCTAAAATCTTCACTTTCAAGACTTGTCTACAGGTTTCCAGCCAAACCGTTCAAATTTTTACATATGTTACACAGTGATAAGTTCTAGAGCTGATTAACTTTTCTGCGGCCATCTTGCTTTCTTGGTCAACAAGACCACAATGTTGTGTTTTAGGTACGATATTGTTCACGTCTTTGCCTTGTTATTGTATATATCAACGCAGTAATATTTCTATCGATATGAGGAATTCCATACAATGTATTTTGATGTTATTTTGACATTTTTTTATGCCTTTTGATGAGGGTAATGCTTGAAATTCAATCTCATTTCATAATTGCATTAGATGACCAACCTTTGACTTATGATTTTTTAATTTTTGGAATTAACTGCTTTAAATACGTTGGTGATCTGATGCTGCCAAACCCTTCGGGAGTAGTTTGGTGCAAAGTCAATGTTCTAAATAGTATTTTGCAGAATTTTTTTAATAAGTTCATTCGATCATGAACTGTTATTGTTTTGCAATAATCCAGATGCGCATCGCTCATCGTGAGCGCGACCTTTCACAATTTGATTTGCATTAACATTTCCGTTATCTTGGTCCTATAATCTCCATTCGCCTCATGACAACACGTTCGTTAGCTGCTGCTGTGAAAACCATAGAGAACCATCAAACAATGGGAAAATATTATCATTTTAAAATTATTTGACTCGTTGTGTCGGTTAGTAGATTATATTAGTTGATTAAAAGAGGTCATGTTATTTCAGTTTTGTAGCCACATCGACGATACCCCTAGCCTTTTTCTCCTTATTTTCTTATTTTTCCATATTTTTGAAAAATCAAGTTTAAACTAGTTGACCTATGTATATATACGGAATGGGTATCATCTCGAACGTCCCATATTCCATACCATACCGAAGATTCCTCTTTAACGTAGCTTTTTCCAATTACTTTTCTGGTTTAACATAAACATTTTTAGAGTTTATTGATAACTTGTTTGCTTTACACATCGTAACTTCGAAAATTAGTACCCCTTGTCTGAAATACTGAAACATTTATCTGCTCATGATAAAATGTTTAAGGATTTATGCCATAGACTCAGTGGTTTGTTGACTTATTATCATTTCAAAAAGGTGTTGTTTCAAACCTTACACGAAGGCATGAGTACTCGGGTGAAAAATGTTCTAAGAGAGTTAAGGGAAAAAATGACTTGATGAGCTGGATGGAATTTCTTTGTATTTTTTATTCTATTTGGGTCTCCTTCATAAGGGATTTCGCCTGCGAAGTATATAATACTTGCAAACATATCGAAACACTGGTCCGAAGAAGACATACATATACCTTGATTTTAAAAAAAAAAGTTCTAAAAAATCTACAAAAATCTTTAACTCAAACAAAGTTGTAGCTTTTCAATATCAATAATTTGTATTATTTAATGTTTTTCATGTGTTTCAGGACCTTCATTAGTCTACGAATGGCACATTTAAGGACTACATTTTTTATCATTTTCGCTTTCAGCAATAACATATAGTTCCTCATATCTTGAGTCTCATGCTAACTGGTTGGTGAATTTTAATTCAATCTGCTCTTGTACATATGTCTTCTTCCATTTAAGATATAGAAAATCTATAATGAACAACCAATGTTCATATTAGAGCTTTCAGATCTCCCCTACCCCATTTATTAGGAAAAATGACTGGAAAATATGAAAAAAAATAGACACTTAAGGACAAAATTTGGCATTTTTCATCATTTCCGCTTTCAGAAATGACATATAGTTCCTTATTACTTGAGTTGTATGCTGACTGGTTGTATAAGCCGTGCATAATAATATATGTTTTCTATACAATGATTATGCTTACAGCTACTTAATCATTGTAATTGCACTTCTAAATTATGTGGAATAGAGCATGGAAAGTGTTGCAGTTTTGAACAGGTTTTAGTACTTTTTGACCAATTGTATCACTGGCGGATCAAGACGCTAGGAACGGGGGGGGGGGCAAATTTCATGTCTGGAAAACAAAATTCCGCGGTAAAATATTTGGACAAATTTTGAAAAAAACGCACCCATTTTTGAAAATTTGACCAAAAAAGGCCAAAATGCCAAAAATGCCCATTTTCGAACCCCTAAAACATTTTTCCTAAAAACATTTTCTGGGCCAGTTATGGTTGATATTATTGTAGTTCTTTCAGGATATACCCTTTTATCGAAAACCGTCAAATACCATCATGTAAAGAATAAACAGATTATCCTTTAGTCGGTTAACAACTTCGGTTCACGGGATATCCCTCGAAATTTCAAGTCTTTGGGTAAATAGATATTATGTTAGCCTCGATAATCCAAATATCCCTCATGGGGATAATCTACAGCCTGGCAAATAATAGATATCTTAATGTGCATAAATTCATGTTTAATCACATTTTGTAAAACTTAATTACATGTAAAAGCCTATTGGAAATAATTAAAACGTGTTTGTCCATTATGACTAGACACTCAATTTCCTAATTTAATCAATTCAATCAGAATTACGTAATGTTTTCAACAAAAACATCAAGCCTTTCGGCAGTTGCAATTAAAGAAATATGTTATATGCATAATGAACCGATGTTTTCAGTATAGACGGTTTTAACAGAGATATGCGGTAACTTTAACTCGCGCTGTCATTAGATTCGGTGGAATGGCACACGTTGGGGACTATTTACAAATTATATTTGGGATTGGATTGTATCTCGGAGGTGTTAGCTGTATTGTAATAGGTAAGTTAAACTCTGATTTTCATATTAAAATTAATCGTTTCGACATATTGAACTTGAACGTCTAATTTTGGGAGTCTAAATATCAATTAGGCATTCATTATTCAAAGCAACCCCTTAAGTTTCCCTTATTTCTTGTAGGATGCAATGGCAACAAATTTCTTGGTATCCTAGATTTTGAATGTTTTTAACAATTTTCAACGAACGTCTAATTTTGGGAGTCTAAATACCAATTAGGCATTCATTATTCAAAGGATACCGCCAAGATTCCCTAATTTCTTGTAGGATGCAATGACATCAAATTTCTTGGTATCCTAGATTTTTATTAGTTCCAAGAAGCAGGGATAAGCCCAAATTGGAAATTGTCCTATGGTTTTTTCAACCTGTACCTTCATTAGATTAATATTTCGTACAGAATAGTATTCTTTCAATTACCATTGAATATGCAGTATGCTTGCATTTTTGTTATTCCCACCTTAATTTCCCCTAGACCTATCCCTAATGTAGGAAGAGCAATTGTTGATGATAAGAGAAAGTCATCTTTTCTTTTCCCTAAACCTATCCCTAATGAGAAGCAGAATTATTGTTGATGATAAGAGAAAGTTATCTTTACTTTTCCCTAGACCTATCCCTAATGATAAGAAAAACCATTGTTGATGATAAGAGAAAGTTATCTTAAGTTTTCCCTAGACCTATCCCTAATGATAAGAAAAATTATTGTTGATGATAAGAGAAAATTATCTTAACTTTTCCCTAGACCTATCCCTAATGATAAGCAGAACTATTGTTGATGATAAGAGAGTTATATTAACTAACTTTCCCCTAGACCTACCTATTACTAAGGTTACACAAGAAAATTTACTAAATAGAAATTTTGTTGACATTTTTTAAATCTAAATCAAAAACAAGATAATCAAAATTAGAGGTTTCTATCACGTGGGTCGCCGGAAACGTCTAACAAAGCAACACAATTGAAATGTAAGTCTTTGTCCTTTTTTCTAAGATTCATTTGCTGGTTTCCACGTCCCCGGGGGAACGGAGATCGCAGGAGCGACCACAGCGACAGAATGCATCAACATCTGCGAGACTCAATCAAGGTGCATGGGAGTTGACTTCGACCAGCAGAGATGTTTCAGTCACGATATCGACAACGTCGAATACTTATGTAGTACTGCTTCTTTGCAAACACTTGCATCGAGTACTCACTACAGGCTCGTTAATTGTTGTGAGTTATTTGTTTCGGATATGTAGTAGTGCTTCTTTGCAAACACTTGCATCGAGAACTCACTACAGGCTCGTTAATTGTTGTGAATTATTTGTTTCGGATTACTTTTATCACTAACATGATTCTGTGATGTGCGTACACTGTACAACCTGTTCATCTTTCAATGATTCCAGCAAAGGATCCCCATAGAATTGATACTCATTACAAATTACAGAAACATTCAAACTGCAGTAGATATTTACCGAAAAGAACATGATACATTTTCGATTGTGATTTTTTCATTAACAGCTCTGCCAGTCCTTGAACAATACAGTGATGTCAATGTATTTGGAGCAGTGTTAGTGCCGGGTGTCATCACAGCTAGGGACTGCCTTAATTCCTGCAATGCGTCCTGCTCAGCTGTTGACTTTAATTTCCTGTCAAACCTGTGTTATTCACACGATACAACGACAACTTGTAACTCTTTTAACGTCGTCAACAACATAACACATTACAAAAAGCAAAGATGTTGTAAGTATATAATGTATACCTTAATACAGCCCCTTCCATAAGTTGGAAGTACCAATTGAATAGTGTTTTAATGCCATTTTATGTTTATCTCAGTTTTTCAACAACATTAATATGAAGCATTTAATTAAGTTGCAATTTGTCTACAATGAGACTTCCGGTTGTTGAACTATTTTGGGTGTATTTTAGAAATATAGAAATTATAGGTACCTTATTAAACCATATAGTCCCTAGTCTTTTTGTTTACGGTGTTCGTCGTTTGGCGGTCCGAGTTGGGCGATCCGTGCGGATCCTTGAGGAACGCAAAGTTATTTCAGTTTGGATATTATATTTACTTACATAAGTATTTGTACTTACATACTTATTCCTAGCAATATTTTATCAATTATTCAATCCGACGACAATATATGCCATTTAAATTGAACATTAGATATTCATTTTTATCTGTTACATATACAAACCATTAATTTGAATAGCGGGGAACGTGCCCCTTGTGGACTGTGGTAGTCTCCCGGCCCCCGCAAATGGCACCGTAACTGGTTCTGCAACCACAGTTGGATCATCCCTCTACTTCAGTTGCAATATAGGTTATTCACTAAGCGGCAGCAGCGAAAGAACATGCCAACTGGATGGGACGTACGATGGTACTGCCCCAACCTGTACAGGTATTATCAACAGAGACATTAAGCTTGCATATAAAACGCACTTTGTGTTTTGCATGCTGAGAGATGGATTTGGACCATAACATAATATATTGGAAGCCATTTTTGAATGTGTAGCTTTTAAACATGTTTGAATGTTAATCGAGATATTTGTTGCTAAAGTATGCATGACACGCTTTTCTATCTTCTGATCATATAATTATGATAATTAACATAAACCCAGCATAGTTTCCAATTAGCATTAAACTGTAACATAATTATATCCCCCTACGCGAAACTCAATTTTGATTTTAGCTGGAACTCGTTCAAATTTAAACTAGACATATTAAAATTGGAAAGGGGAAACTTCATTTGTTCATCTATAATAAACCCAATTTCCTAAGATGTTTGAAAGGCGATGCATAAGTAACCCTTAAAATCCATTGCTAAATAAAAAAAAAACTTACCATAAAATGAAGTAAAAATCTAAAATCAATTCTTAATTAGATTAATTTTAGGCTCAAGGCAAATGAATAATTCCTTAAATATATAAGCACAAATGCCAAAAGGGAAGGGTGACTAGAAACCCAACACGAAAAGCAAACTGTAAGTGTAAATCTGTCATAAGAAAAGTAGACCCTATATATTCCAAAACCATGATCTAACGTGAAAAGAAACAATGTCTAACATCCCCCTCCCCTCTCCAATCGAGAACCAGGACCAGAACACCAAGGGACATTTCATTCATACTGAAGTCATTACAATACATGTTGAAGAAAAATGAAAATACTGGTAGCCAATATTCATAACATCAAAAATAGTTGTAGATACTAGTACTCATAAAAGATTCAGTATGAGTATTCAGTCTCAAATGATGTTGGATAGATAAAATCCTGTCTCGAAGTCGATGGGCAGTTCAAAGGGTCAACATCCGTTCGCAAAGCCATCATCATAATCCATAAAACAACGATTTACAATGGTCATCAGGAGAAAACTATGGCTGGTTTCGATCCCTATTTCTCAACCATTAATGCCATAGCCGGGATCCACCTCAAAAGGTCCCAGGTGAAAAAATTGTGAGTTCATTGCAAATTTATTATACAATTCCTACATCCTTCAGCATCTCAAGTGGTAAAATTTGAAATTTCAAGATTAATGACTTGTACTTTTCAGTAAAGCCTAGAAAAGATCTCTTAAGTTTTTTACAAGTATAACCTTGACCTAACAGCTAGGTCACTAAAATATGTCTTGATTTGAAATCTAGAAATTTTGAACACGCCCTGCCATATCTAATAAGCTGGGATACATAAACCTCATATGCTGAGTTAACTTATTATGACTTATGGTCGGACACATTAACTAAAATGGAACCAATTAATGTTTCCCTGGAAGAAAATCCATGGGAGGAAGTTTTATTATGAAGTTTTATTATAAAGTTGCAATTAAATTCAATTTATGCAAGATTTTAGAGAAGGGTTGGTTATGATAAAATGTCAGCAATTGTTTCACGATTGTTTCCTACAGAGTAAATTATTATGATCCAAAATTGATTGTTTACAGATACCATATTTTTCCGACATCACTTACTGTAATATCATATCATATATCCACATATGGATATCTAAAAATATATTGATAAAATTATTTTTGCTTAGTTGTTGACTGTGGCCCTCTTGACATCCCTACTAATGGCACACTGAACATAACAGGAACTGTTTACAATTCTGTCGCGATTTTCATGTGTGACACTGGATTCAATATGTTGTTTGGCAGTTTTATAAGGACGTGTTTATATCTGGGCGTGTGGAGTGGACGCCAACCAGAATGTACATGTAAATATCATATAAATTTAGTATCATAATTTAATTTATTCACCTAGGCATCATAACAAAGACTTTGAAAAGAATCCCAAGATCGATAACTGAAACCATTTATGCCACGATGTCATCGTCAGACAACATTATAATATAGGAACCCTGAAAGTAACGTCTCTCTCTTGTACTTCCTTTACAACTATGGTCCTATCTGGCCTTTTGTTATAGTGAGCTCCTGCCCAACTCTAGAACCACTCAACAATGGTGACACAATCGGAAATGACACGTTTTACAACTCTGTTCTGTCATTCACGTGTAATACTGGATACACCCTCGTTGGTAGCAGTAGCAGGCTGTGTTTGGCTAACAGTACTTGGTCGGGCACTAACACCACGTGCATAAGTAAGTATACATTGCCATACCAGTTTTGCAAATACGTCACACAATATACTTTTTCATGCAACCATGCAAAATATGGATTTATAACCGCACTAGAACGAATAGAAATATTATCTATGAGAATTTCTGAGTCGAGTCCTTTGAATTCTCTTTTGAGGCTTCACCTTTAATTCCGTTATAGTAAACGACTGTGAAACCCTACTTGCTCCTGGAAACGGTACAGTAGATGTAGCGAATAGTACATACAATACATTGGCAACATTCTCCTGTAATGTGGGGTATGTTCTCTCTGGAAGTTCAACAAGAACGTGCCAGGCCAACTCAACTTGGGATGGGACAGAGACAATATGCACAAGTAAGACTTATCTCTGTGTCATTATTAGAAATTATATATCACAACATTATATATGAAGTACAATTTGGAGTTTAGTACTGAACCAGTACTTAAGAGCATAATATTCTATCGATTAAATATAATAGATATGTTTAGCAAATGAAATTGTATTGATAATATGACGTACATCTAAATCTCATTTTTAGTTAGAGATTGTGGTGTGCTAAACCCACCTTTGGAATATGCGACTATTACTGGCAGTAGCTACATATTTAATGCAGTGGTGTCATTTACCTGTCAGACCGGCTACACCCTCTTAGGAAGTTCCTCAAGGACATGCCAGAGTGACGGCACGTGGTCAGGAACTGAAACCAATTGCACAAGTAAGCTTCTTTGAAATCTAAATTTCAAATTCAAAACATAAAGAAACTATATTAAGTTCCTCGAGGGTTTGCTAGAGTGACGGCATATGACCAAGAACTGAAACCAATTGCACAACTAAGCTTCTTTGAAATCTATATAGATCATAACTTCACTTTGCCAAATCTGTGTATTGCCTCCATATACGTTAATATTGAAATATTATAGTTTTTGACAAATATGTTAGAAGATACAAAAATATGACCATAAGAACATAGTGATGACAAAGACACACACGTAATACTTTATGATTCTAGAGGAATGGTCTTGCAGCGTGTATGATGAAAAGCCGATATTAAAGTAATTGAACAATGATTAGCAGTAGTTTCCTCAGTATTTCAACAAAACGCACACATTTTACAAATCATGTGTCACCATAAATGGTGCATAGGCCTACCGAAAAATGTTTGAGATATGTTGTTGTAGTTGTCGATTGTGGAGTCCTTGGTATTCCGGAGAATGGGTCGTTGTCCAGCAATGCGACAACATACGATTCAGACGTAGTCTTCACATGTGACATTGGTCACGTGCTAAGTGGTAGTTCTGTCAGAACTTGTCAGAGCGATGGGACATGGAGTGGAACGACAACATCGTGTATTGGTAGGTTCCTTATATCACATATATATTGCTATATGTCACGTATTAAGTGGTAGTTCTCTTAGAACTTGCCAGAGCGATGGGACATGGAGTGGAACGACAACATCGTGTATTGGTAGGTTCCTTATATCACATATATATTGCTATATGTCACGTATTAAGTGGTAGTTCTCTTAGAACTTGCCAGAGCGATGGGACATGGAGTGGAACGACAACATCGTGTATTGGTAGGTTCCTTATATCACATATATATTGCTATATGTCACGTATTAAGTGGTAGTTCTCTTAGAACTTGCCAGAGCGATGGGACATGGAGTGGAACGACAACATCGTGTATTGGTAGGTTCCTTATATCACATATATATTGCTATATGTCACGTATTAAGTGGTAGTTCTCTTAGAACTTGCCAGAGCGATGGGACATGGAGTGGAACGACAACATCGTGTATTGGTAGGTTCCTTATATCACATATATATTGCTATATGTCACGTATTAAGTGGTAGTTCTCTTAGAACTTGCCAGAGCGATGGGACATGGAGTGGAACGACAACATCGTGTATTGGTAGGTTCCTCATATCACTCGGAAAAAATCAATCATCATTCTAAAACGTCGCGATGTTGAGATAAAACCTAAATAAATATTAAATATTGCCACTGAAACAATCCTCGTTTACTTATCACTTTTCAGTTGTCGATTGTGGTTCCCTTGCGACTCCTCCCAATGGCACATTGAGCTTAACGGGGACTGTTTACAATTCAGTAGCATCGTTCGCATGTCCACCTGAATTTTTTTTATTTGGAAGTTCTTCAAGAACCTGCCTATCATTCGGCATATGGAGTGGTCAACAGCCAACATGTGTATGTGAGTATTTTGTACGAACAGTTTTCAATTTAAGGGAACTCTGCCACTTATATCGCTACACCAGAGAAGACATCCTCGATGTTTTTATGGAGTAGAATAAATAAAAATGGATTAAGTATAAAAAAACATTTAAAACTTACGTAGGTTCATTCAAAGTATTGAGATCTTGAACTGAGAAAAAATTTTAGTTGGAGGATGTGGACAGTTGAATCCTCCCCAAGGATACGCCTCTGCAACATTCAGTAACGCAAACTCAGAGGTGACATTCACATGTGCGACAGGATACATCCTCACAGGGAGCTCATCTAGAACATGCCAGAGTGACGGCATGTGGTCAGGAACTGAAACCAACTGTACACGTAAGATTTCTTGACTCATAATTCACACGTAACAATCTTTTTCATAAATTTGTATATTTATAAGCTTTGGGAAATAAAACATATTTATCCAATCTAATATGTATCTTATCAAAATCTTTATAGTTGTTGACTGTGGAGAATTATCTACTCCTGAAAATGGGAGTAAATCTGGGGATTCAAGAACAACATACGATGCCGTAGTAGTATTCCAATGCAATCCTGGCTATACATTGTCAGGGAGCTCTGTTAGAACATGCCAAAGTAACGGATCATGGGACGGGACTGATACGACATGCACAAGTAGGTCAATAGCAATATATAATTTCACATTAAATTGGAGTAAATGTGGAGATTCAATATAACGCTGTTGTAGTGTTACAACGCATTCCTGGCTATACATTGTCTGGGAGCTCTACTAGAACTAGAACATGCGAAAGATGGACACGCGGAAATTTCCATACACAGAACTTGGTTGGCCGTCATGTTATATATATTATAACAATAATTATTATACAATAATTTAGATTCCTGTTTCAGCCCTGACGTTGCTGATCTCACCTTCGTACATTTGTACATTTTAAGTTGCTGGATTTACCATTCTTCCTTTAGTTGTGGACTGTGGTACGCTGGATATGCCTGCAAACGGCACATTGAGTTTGTCTGGTACTGTTTACAATTCTGTAGCGTCATTCACGTGTGAAACTGGGTTTAATCTCACTGGAAATTCCACAAGAATATGTTTATCATCAGGGATGTGGAGTGGAGAACAATCCATTTGCGTCTGTAAGTAAAGTTTTACGTTATGTAATCCCTTTCGATATTTGTATAATACTGATATTGCAAGGACACGGTGCTCAACGTGAAAACAGTGATTCTAATGAACAATTCTTATACAAACACAAGAACATGTAGAAACATTATAACTGATTCTAGGCTGTCGAAATTTCCTTGTTTCCCAAACAGACCATATCCCACTTATGTTCAGATTCTTTGTAAGCTAACAGGGTATATCTTAAATTTTATTTGATGTGGGTCAGATTTGAGCAGAAAAAGATTTAATTTATAGTTGGTGGCTGCGGCCAGTTGACTCCTCCTGGATATGCTACAGTGACTGGCAGTGGTGATGCTTACAACACAGTGGTGACATTCACTTGTCAGACTGGTTACATTCTGAGTGGATCTGCCACGAGGACATGTCAGGCTAATGCAACTTGGTCGCTACCAGAAACCATATGCACAAGTAAATATATTACTTGGAATCATATATTACAACCATATTTCAACTGAAGAACAAATGTGAATTGAGGCCATTTAAAAATGCCTACATAAGATATAGCCTTTGAATGAAATCCAGTACAATTCTATTACTTTGAATAGACTAACAAAAGATAATTAAAATAGTAGTTGGCAATCATTAATTGTGGCTTGAGTTTTATTTTCAATTGCTCTTATAATTAAGAAATTACAATATTGATAAAAAGGGCCTCTCAAACTATTTTATAATTTTATGTATCCATCATATATAATTTGGTATGAAGTTCGATATTTTTTCTGAGAAGATTGCAAACGATATATGTTTAAAAATAGTCGCAGATTGCGGAGCTCTAACTGCCCCTGGCAATGGGTCTACTTTTGGAGATGGAATGACGGTTTATAATTCAATGGTAGTGTTCCAATGCAATCCTGGCTATACATTGTCTGGGAGCTCTATCAGAACATGTCAAAGTAACAGTTCGTGGGATGGAACAATTACAGTATGCACTGGTAGGTACATAGAAATACATAGAGGTTATTTAATTGGAGGTTTTTTATAAAGGATATATCAGAGGGAAATACAATATATCTACCCGAGGGACCGTAGGGACCGAGGGTTGATATATGGTATTTAACGATATGGTATTTTTGATGTAGGGTATATCTGAAGGAAATACAATATATCTGATGTATTGTATTTACCGATATTTTTCTTTACCGATGTATTTTCTTACACAAGCTTTGGATTATAAAGATGCTGATAAATCTGATTGTAATTTGCCGTATTTTATTCTTTCTTTAGTTGTTGATTGTGGTCCACTGCCCATTCTTGTCAATGGCACGCTGACTATATCTGGAACTGATTACAATTCTGTTGCGTCATTCGCTTGTGAAACTGGGTTCAGCCTAATCGGTAATTCAACAAGGACATGTTTATCATCGGGAATATGGAGTGGAGAACAACCCATTTGCGTATGTGAGTAATTTAGATTTTTGATTACAGATTATTTAAGATTTAATTTTGAATGTTTTATAAATGGGCTTGTGTTATACTTCTGTAGTTGGAATTACGTTTGTGCTTAAAATGGCCAGTGTGACAATAGCACTTCAGAAAGTCGCGATAAGGGTGCCGTATAAACGTAATATCAAATTTTATTTAAAAAATATAGCTTTCACTTTGACCCCTTGAAAAAAATTTTTCAACTTTAAGACTATAAGTTGAAACCTAAGACTAGATCTTGTTGGCCATTTCTTTGTAATCTAAGAGACAGTGATATATATTGTTGTCGATCGTGCGAGAGCTAACCCAACTTCAAATGAATTTATAGTCGGAGGGTGTGGCCAGTTGACTGCTCCTTCGGGATATGATACAGTGACTGGCAGTGGGGATGCTTACAACACAGTGGTGACATTCACTTGTCAGACTGGGTACATTCTGAGTGGATCTGCCACGAGAACATGTCAGGCCAATGCAACTTGGTCGCTACCAGAAACCATATGCACAAGTAAATATATCACTTGAAGTCATATATATCAACCTTTTGTCGACTCTATATATCTATATATATTATTCTGGAAAGAAGGATTGTCCGGTATGATCCAGATCTTTTTATATATCATTTTCATGTCATATTAACTAAAGAACACATGTGAATTGAGGCCATTCAAAAATGCCTACATAAAGTATATCCTTTGAACATATACAAATTAAATCATCAATTTAGGCTTAGGTTTTATATTTGATTGATCCAATACTCAAGAAATGACAATACTGATATAAAGATCCGCTCAACCCATTTCATCATATATAATTTGGTATGAGGTTCAATATTATATATATACAATATATATATAATATATATAATATATGTATATATATAATATACATTTCAAACGACATATGTATTAATAGTTGCAGATTGTGGATCTCTAACTGCTCCTGGCAATGGGTCTACTTTTGGAGATGGAACGACGGTTTATAATTCAATGGTAGTGTTCCAATGCAATCCTGGCTATACATTGTCTGGGAGCTCTATCAGAACATGTCAAAGTAACAGTTCGTGGGATGGAACAATTACAGTATGCACTGGTAGGTACATAGAAATATATATGAAAGCCATATCATATTTCTTTAAGTTAACCCAAGATCATCTTTCGAGTAAGAATATTGTCAGCCTTTGATGTCATATCATCAACGTCTAATCGCCCCATACTAGTGAGTAGCCATTTTGTATAGACATTGTTATTTATCTCTTATGTCCAATATTGCTCATTCTCAAGATTTGGATAATGTGTAAGACAAACCTTGCATAACAATGTAATACTAATTTGCCCATTGTCAAATAGTGAGATCAAAAGTATTTACTACCCTTTACGAGTTTGGATTGGAGAAACTCTGATAAATCAGATTGTAATTTGCCGGATTTGGCTATTGTTTTTTTAGTGGTGGATTGTGGTTCGCCGCCCATTATTGTCAATGGCACGCTGACTATATCTGGAACTGATTACAATTCAGTAGCGTCATTTGCGTGTGAAACTGGGTTCAGTCTGATTGGTAATTCAACAAGGACATGTTTATCATCGGGAATATGGAGTGGAGAACAACCGATATGTGTATGTGAGTAATTTAGATTCAATTTGATTACTCCGTTTCTTATTTGATTCTGAATGTTTAATATATTGGCTTGTGTTATACTTCTGTATTTGCAATAACGTTGCGATAAGGATACCATATAAACGTAGCGTCAACTTTTACTTACTCATATAGCTTTCACTTTGACCCCTTGACATTTTTTCGACTTTAAGACTACAATTTGACACCTAAGACTAGATGTTGGCCGTTTCTTTGTATTGTCTTGGTCACATTTGCTCCGATTTTTACTACGGTGCCCGGCCGATTGAGTATTTTGTTCAAAATTGAACATATATAAAAAAACACTTAATCCCCAGACGCCGGCCGACAAATCGGAGCAAATGTGACCAAGGCACAAGCTAAGAGAAGAGGGTGTAGATAGTGTTGTCGATCGTGCGAGGGCTAACCTAACTACAAATGAATTTATAGTCGGAGGGTGTGGCCAGTTGACTGCTCCTTCGGGATATGCTACAGTGACTGGCAGTGGGGATACTTACAACACAGTGGTGACATTCACTTGTCAGACTGGGTACATTCTGAGTGGATCTGCCACTAGGACATGTCAGGCCAATGCAACTTGGTCACAACCAGAAACCATATGCACAAGTAAGTACAAACTTGGTATCTTTTGAGTGGATCTCTTATTTACATATTATTCAATATGCCAGTGAGACGCGCTTGAGAGGCCTTCGACCAGTGACTCAATTTTACCAGAAACTTAACAATTTAACAATCACCATACATGACACGTCTCTATTATTGGCTGTGCAAGATGTCAATCTAGTATTATTCAAGACTAATATCAATGTCAAATTGTAATGTTTTTGTCACTTGATCCCTACTGTTCAAATGTTTCCTAAACTTACGCAACATAAAAATATTGAAGTTGTCTAGACCACCTTGTCTGCAGCTCATAATTATTTGTCTAACAGCATTATTATGTTTAAATAGTTGCAGATTGCGGACCTCTAACTGCCCCTGACAATGGGTCAATATCTGGAGAAGCAGCTACAGCGTACAATTCAATGGTAGCGTTTCAATGCAATCCTGGCTATACATTGTCTGGAAGCTCTATCAGAACATGTCAAAGTGACAGTATGTGGAATGGAACAACTACGACATGCACGGGTAGGTACAAAGAGAAACAAATCTTATCAATATCGACTTTCTTTCTTATATTTACTTAAAGTAAACTGCTCCAGATGTGAACATGTTGGATATTATTCTGATGTACAATAAAGTATGAGTATAAAGGGTGTCGAGCCTGGACCCTCTGTTTAGAATGTACGAGGGGTGATCAATAAGTAATGGACGCTTTTTTACACAGATGCTTTTTATAGACCAATCCCTTCGATTTTCTTACCAGTGATACATCATTAAATTATTTATAAACTCTGAAGATCTGAAAACAAAACATGTAATATCTTTTAATATATCTTTATTTCCGTGAAGGATGTATGGGTACCCCGGGACCGACATTTACGTCAAACATTCTGAAGCTATTTTAGCTTGTTTAACATGCAATGCAGTTGAATGCAGGCTGAACAAAACAAACCATTATGGTCATGAATTACCCCATTTTGTTCTGCCATAGTTGATTTTGAATATTTTATCATCACTATGTGGTATTCATGCCACATTCATTCCACAGGGCCCTCTACATAGGTTCCATCAAGTGCTACATGTACACAATTCCTCATCCTCTTAATTCAAGATTGTGAGACAAGGCTGAATCCATTCTCTGACATGGTAGCAAGATGCAGTTGCACGGGTTGTTTTATTTCATCAATATCAATAAACAGGCATCCTTTCTCTATAGAAATAAGTAGTATAGAAATAAATAAGTCACACGTGAGCAGATCTGGACAATATGGTGCATTGGCCAAGGGCTCAATTTTGAGGTCCAGGGATATTGTTTTCTGAACATTTTGAGATCTGTGGGCAGGTGCATTGTCCATATGGAGTAGGGTGTTCCCTTCTCTCACCACCCCTTTCTTCCACAATGCTTTCTCAAATTGACCTGCAAACCCCTTCCATACAACACTCTGACATCACAATACTTTCTGTTTATGTGTTGACCAGTCAGCAAAGTATTTCAAACAACACAACACATGTTGCATATGAAAAGTTAAAATCTAACTGAAATTTGCCAAACTGGTTGAAAACTGAATATGTGACGTAAATGTCGGTCCCGGGGTACCTGTACCTCCTTCACGGAAATAAAGATATATCAACATGTATTTTATATTTTGTCTTCAAATCCTCAGAAATGATAGATAATTGAATGATGTATCACAGGTAGGAAAATCAAAGGGATTGGTCTATAAAAAGTATCTGTGTAAAAAAGCGTCCATTACTTATTGATCACCCCTCGTACTGGTGTTAGAATTCTGCTTACATTTTTCTATCAAATTGTGTTGCATCATTTTCTTAACTATTGATGTTGATATCCATAATACCCGAACATTAAGTGAATATCAAAATCAAATATACCAATATTATATTTCATTCCATACTTAGTAATGTTAGGTAAATGACATGCAGAAATATAATTGATATCTGAAGTGAGTGGGTGATATAAATATCACCCGCTCATCAGATCTACGACGTCACAAATTCAGAGAGTTGATACTGAGCCGTCGGATTCGACTATAAACCATCATAGTGTACTTAGTATAGAATAAATCATTTATCAAATGCTAGATTTTTGATACAGGGTATATCCGTCGGTAAATAGAATATATCAACCCTCGGTTAATACGGTCTCTCGGGTTAATATATTGTATTTCCCTCAGATATACCCTGTATCAAAAACCTCCCATTAATAACCTCTATATATTTTGTTTAGTTGTGGATTGTGGTCAACTGAACGCTCCTGTTAATGGTTCGATGATGGTATCGGGGACTATTTACAATTCACAAGTGACCTTCTCGTGTGAAAGTATGGCATTTAATCTGGTTGGCAATTCAACAAGGACATGTTTATCATCAGGATTATGGAGTGGAGAGCAGCCACAATGTGTCTGTAAGTAGCGTTTATTAAAATATGAACTTTTGGTATAACAAATGTTACACAGTAGTTTTATATGTCGAAAGCATTCCCTGTTTGTACGTCTTTGTAATCATACTTTTGTTGTTCGAGTCTGAAGCTCTCTCTGGTCTTACGTCTTTGTAAGCAAACTTTGTCACAGTCTGGAGCGTTTGAGTCTGAATTAATAGTTTTTGGTATACTGTTGCTCTAATGGCGTCATGAGATTAATCAGAGTAGGTCCTAAATAATTAAGAATAAAGATGGAGGTAGAATCAATCAAAGAAATTATATAACTGCTGCCATTTTAATATCGGCCTAAAAATCCGATTCTTGTAATTTTCAGTTGCCGGTTGTCCTCCGTTGAGTGCTCCTACGGGATATGATTTACGAACAGTTACTGGCACTGGTACTGAGCTAGGCTCAACTGTATCCTTCACATGTCAGACTGGGTACACTCTCAGTGGAAGTAGCTTGAGGACATGTCAGGGCGATGGCACATGGTCAGGAACTCAAACCATTTGCACCAGTAAGTCTATATGCCTATTTTAATTCATCTGCAATGGGGGAATATTGTATATAAGGCTTTCATAAGGGTATTGTTGTACTTCTTTTGTTTTATTGTACTTGGAACAAATATTATAAAAAGGTTGCGTAGAATTAAGATTAAAACTAGATTTATTCAGAGATCATACAGTCATATCTGCAGATGATTTCCTTATGATTCATATTTAGAAATAACACAACATTAAATGTATGAAAGAAAATGGAAAAAATACAACCTGAACCAACTATATTGGAAAGTTAACGAGGCAAAAATGAACTTGTACCAGGAAAATCAAACGTCATTGATTTTTCATTGATTGCTTTCGCGTTGGTATTTTTTATCGTTTTTGAAGTTTGTTTTTGCCATTGTTTGCTCAAATGTTTTGGTTTGATTAATTGCTTTTTTGTTTGTGACTGATTTGTTTGGTCCTGTTGTTCGTATTGCGCTTGTTTTCATTATTTGCTTCTGTATCTATGTTTTCATCGCTTTTTCTTGCCTTCGTTTTGACATTATTTGCTTTTATGTTAATCAATTCATTGATGTATTTTGATTGAAGTTGTTGACTGTGGCTCATTAGATACCCCTCTGAATGGATCAATGATGGGCATATCTACAACATATGATTCTTCAGTGGCGTTTGCATGTGACCCTGGGTTTGTCTTAAGTGGAAGTTCTCTGAGAACTTGTGGAAGTGATGGTAATTGGAGCGGAATGAAACCAACTTGTTCGGGTAGGTACATAGCAAAGAATATTTAGTAACTCTCTTTTGAATCAGAATTCTCCTCCAGATAAACAATACCAATTGTGTCAAAAAACATCGAGCAAATCGGGGTCAAAAATGACGCTGTAGTTTGAACATACCAATGGAAAGCGGAAATAGACAGGAATAAGGATCTGATAAATTACGTAGCTATGGTGGTTACAAAGTCGTTTTATTGGTGACAGGTCATCTCAACCCCAAGTCATCTCAACCCAGTCCAACTCAACCCCAAGTCAACTCAACCCCAGTAAAACTCAACCCCAAGTCAGCTCAACCCTGTAAAACTCAACCCCAGTAAAACTCAACCCTTTTCATTTGTGCAATGTCTAATTTAATTTTTTTATGATGAATAATTTTAGTCATTCATTTCTGAAAATCTAGCATTTTGCATGATACTTTGAATAGAAAGTTGTAAAAGTATTAAAAAACGGTTAAGCTCAAGGATAATTCATCAAGTTGTCACTATTATTTAATTTAAGACATCTTTTGAAATCAAATTTTAGATAATTTAGAAATAATTAACAATGTAATATAACTTTTTATTTATATGAACATGCTTTAACAAAATCATTAACATTTAGTAATTGTTACTTGTGGGTATCATCAAGGTTTTCTAATGGCTGTTTCTTCTTTGACCTTACCGCTGGATACAATCAAAATTTAGGAAGATAATGATAACGATTTTTCTCAATTATTCATGAATTCGACCAAGTCCTGTAGTCCCAATTAGTCAAGGAAGAGCAATAGGCCCTCCTTTATTGATAATGTTTACCGCTGAAAAAAGTTCATATCTCAAAACGTATTGAGACCCATTTTGTGAAAAACTAGCATAATTTAAGCATTTGTCATTCTAAAATAAAATTGATTCATTTGTAGCATTTATCGTATACATACCTGAAAAACAGTACAACACGTCGATACACTGATTACATAATTTTGGGGTATTGATAAGAAAAATAACCTCAAACTTAGAGCTTAGAAACCAAATCATATATTTAAAATCATTTTGTATTATTTTCTGTTGCATTGTGTACTCCAAATTGTGAAAAATTGGGATTTTATTTTTTGGTAATTTTTTGACCTCTGTTTATGGAAGGGATAATTCAGCCTAAAAGTCGGAAGTATATTAAACGGTTATAATAAAAATTATTAGGAAACACATGTAGGTATGTTAATGTTAGGTCAAATATCGCTGCTCTATAGTGTGCTACCAGCTCCTTTACTAGACGTCCTAGAGATTTCATACCATGGACTATTATATGATAAGATCAACTAGTGCGATATTTATCTCAATAATAGGTAGTTATCATTACTTTGTTTATATAGCCGCAGATTGTAAATCTTTGGGATATATAGACGTCGGTGTGGCTGGTTCCTGCTATTTGTTTGAAACAACTTTTCGAAATATAACATCTGCGCTTAGTGCATGTCAGTCGGAGTCTCCACCAATGAGTATGTTGTCATTTGAAAATGAAGACGAATACAACAAGATAAGGGCACATCCATTCTTTGTCTCAGGTATTGTACCCCGTTATTCAATTTAAGCGTTGTATCCGATTACAATGATATGTACACCATTACAAACTAAAGAATTGCATCAAAATTCTTGGATATTGTACTCAATTACAAGCTATATAATATTATTGCATCGAATTTCTAAGGCAATCATTACAAACTTATTAAGTATTACATCCAATTACTTACTAGGCATTATGCCCCAAAACTAGTTTAACCATTGCATCAAAATTCTCGGATGTTGAACCTGATAACAATTTCTCAGGAGTTGTACCCCATTACTAACTTAGGCATTCCATAGAACTATTAAAATTGAATTATTGTATTTTCATTTTTGCATGTTATTTATACACTGCTTTTTGCAGCTCCTTGGTGGAACATTGGTCTTAACGACATCGATACGGATATGCAATATGTCTGGTTTAACACAGGAGCCCAACCAACCTGGACTAATTGGCAAAGTGGGCAGCCTACTTCTAACATTGCAGTGAATTGCGTTACCATGAAACGGCCAACGGGAAAGTGGTTTATGGTTGACTGTAACACCCCTACGTTATTGGCGTTTACAATCTGTGAATACAATTACTAGCTGTGCCTCCACTGCAATATTGGCGTTCAAAATATGTAGATTCCAATACTTCCTCGACTATGCCTATATTTCGCTATTGGTGTTTAATTCTGTGAATATAGTTACTAGCCTGACTGTTCCACAACTTTAGTATTGGGGTTCAGAATCTGTTGATTCATATTACCCTAACTGCGAAGCAACATTGTTATTGGCGCTTACAATCCCTGAATACAATCACTACCCTGACTGTGCCACAACTTCATTATTGGCGTTTAGAATATGTCGACACAATTACGAGTTACTATTAGTGTATGAAAACATATCCAAATAGAATATGTTTGTTCGTTTATATCTTTACAACAGGGTGTGCCAAAAAATTGCATCTTTTTAAGAAGGCTAGAAAAGTATCATAACATTATGGTATTGACATAAAAAATTTTAAAGAAACTTAAGGATATGGATATTTTACCATCCAAATACTTAAGCTAATACTGACTTCAAATTTTTTGTCAGATGTTTGAATATTGATGCTAAATTGTACATCGTGTCCGAGATTTACCTAGAAAATGTTATTTTCTATGATTTTATGTGATCATCAATAGCACATTTAGTATGTTCACTAAATCTGCCACAATCTTTGTTAAGTGTTATTCATCAGTACAAATGAATCAAGGGGTATTCTCCTCCAATTATTCCAAAGTGGCTTTTGCAGTATGGCCTGGAGCACTATCCTGCTGGAATAGGTAATACTTAATCACCTTGGGCTAAAAGAGCCCTCATTCTTGATGTTCTTTTTGAAGAATATTAGTCCTGAGGAATGGCCACCCGATACACCAGATTCCAACCCCTGTGACTATTACACATGTTTTGTATTAAATGGTTATATCCCACAAACTATTGACCAACTAAAACAAGTTATGCAAGATAAGTGGAAAGAACTACCACAAGAATTGCTGGATCGCGCCATTGACCATTTCGGTCCTCGTCTCCGTGTGATTGTGAAGGTGAAAGGCGGATGCATAGAACATTTGTTTAATAAATAATTAATACAGTAAAACATAATACCATAGTGACTAGATACAGAAAAAAACTGTACAAGACATTGGTTAAACAGTTATCCTAGATTGTAGGAGATTTATTAAACATAATGAATGTCTTGTTGATCACATAAAATCATTTTCTAGGAAAAATGGTAAATTTCGGACACGTGAACAATTTAGCATTAATATTCAAACATCTAACAGAAAAATTGAAGTCAGTATTAGTATAAGTATTTGATTGGTAACATATGCATATTCTTAAGTTTCTGTAAAAAAATATGTCAAAACCACAATGTCATGATATTGTAGCGTTTGCAGGAAATCATAATGGATATTTAAACATCGCGCTACATTTGTTTCCTTGACTCACCTTTGTTTACATTTAGAGCCCAGAAATATTTCTTGCAATTTAAGTACGATTGTTTACCATACTACTTCAATCAATGTACATTCATATCCACCGTATTATTTGGCAACCCGGCTATACTACAATACTTTTCTAGCCTTCTAAAAATGTTGCAAATTTTTTTGCCACACCCTGTAAGTAAATGCGATTTTAGATATATTATAATTTTAAATTATTTTACATAAATCAGCGTCGTTTGTCATAAACAAAAAATGTGAATATTGAATAAGTTATTTTTGACTGAAATATACTGATAATAATGCATTAGACCTTTTTTAGACCTTTTTGGGCCATTTTATCAGAAATGGGCCTTAATTTTCCAAAATTTGGGCCAAACCTTGTGGTTTTAGGGGCCCAAAATTATTGTTTTCCAGATTCAAAATTTGGTCCTACCCCTTGTTAATTTTTGGATCCGCCACTGCAACCAGTCGGAAATTGTGGATTCGGAGCAAAGCATATTGCCGAATATATGATTAGCATTCCATTCTCCATAAAAGTAAAAAATAAGTATTGCATGATCAGAAGAGTATGGTGCAATGGTCTTAGACCTCAAGACCAAGCTCCTTTATAGCTGCAGTGGTCTTTAATGCTGACTTGGGGGAGGCATGTTATCAAGGTGGATGACTGGGTCTTTTGGTCTTTTCAAAAACTCATCCGTGAATTGTGCAGACTGTTAGACATAGTGAAAGTCTGGGAAATTGAATAAATATTAGTATCATGAAATCATACTTGAATCTGAGTTGTATAGCAATACCATTAAAACAAAGCAACAAATAAAACACACGAGAAATGTTGTATTGTGATAGGTGAATTAGATACTTTCTTCAGTAATACAAAAATGTTAGATATCACATTTTCACGGAAAAGTTGTCCCGGGTAATGTGGTGTCATGTTACTATAATAACCATAACTCTACCCGCATTTTACCATTTTTCCTGGAACTTTAGAATTTTAGTTGCAATACTTCACAGTCCAATTTGTGAAAATCTTAAGACACTCGGTGCAGAATTGACAAAATGCCAGCACCAGTCCTGTTACTTTCGGAACACCCTGTATTAGTGGGAGTACAGTAGGTTATAGACTGAAATATTCCGATTATAATGTATTGTTTGTCAAAGGATTGGTATCGATATGGCGAACTGAATTCAACATTATTTTTCTCTTAAACCAATTATTGAAAACATTCTGTAAAAAACACGGTCATTTATGTAATGGTCACTCATTGACAACAATTTAATGCGAAGATTATTTAAATATATTTTTAAAACTGTTTTTGTTAACATTTTTTGATTTTTAGTAAAATTGTTTTTTATTCCTTTCTACCAATTCTTGAGAATGAAATAAAATATATTTCCGAACTTTGTTGGAACAAAATGGCATATACATTTTCTTAGACCTCTCAATATTATAGTTATACAAAGGAAAAGTTAGTTGATTTAACAAAAAGTATTCAAAAAATTGAAACAAAAACCCCAAAAATAGATGAGAATTAAAGTAAACCTTTTATTTCACTAATTTTTTTAAATCAACCAAACTTTCCTTTATACAATTACAATATTGAGAGACCTAAACACGTTGTGTATATGTCGTTTGGATCCAATGAGGTTCGGATAGATGTCTCGTTTCATTCCGAACATATAATACTAAGAACAAAAGAAGTGTGGCTGGTGTTTTTCTAAAACAATATAGAGAAAAGTATATATATTTCATTTTCGGATTAAACAGCTACTATTAAAAAGATGATCATTAGGTTGACGATGTGTGAAATTTTAAGAAATTTTTGATGACTGGTTTAAGATAAACATGTGTTCAATTCAGTTCGCCATATCGATACCCATCCTTTTTAAACGAAACAATTCTGAAATGAGGAAGTGACTCTCGAGAGAAAGCGCCTTTAAAGAGTTTTGCTTGTTTAAAATTTGTGAACATTTGGCGTAATCCATTCGGGGACATCATAGATTTCAAAATGGACACGAATGAGTCAACAATGAGCGGGTAACTGGTCAACTCGTACCCAAGACAACTCGTACCCAAGACAACTCGTACCCAAGACAACTCGTACCCAAGACAACTTGTACCTAATTGTTTATTTTGTTTTGAATCAAGCGTTGGACTGGAAATGTGAATAGATATACATATTATAATTGTAACATACTGTTCAGAATAATTTAAAGTTTGAAGAAGAATTTTCGGAAGAAATCGATTTAATTTTGTGACATTTTGAGCCTTGAGTGTCAATTTATTTTGACTATTATTTTATATTGGTCACAGATTTAGGATGTTCAAGTGAAGAGACATATCGTCGCGTGAGAATAACTTTGTACTAACTGCCATTTTCCAAAAAATTGAGATAGACATGGAATTTTACTATTTGAAACACAGGCTTTCATCTCAGATACATGCCCCATCTCAATTCCCTCTCATTAAGCTAGAATTCAGTGTGAAATTGTACCATCTCCAGACAAACAGCTTATTTCTAATTTCAAATTGTCATATCTGATATCAACTTTCTCAACCAATCAACTCTCTAAGAATTGGTCATGTGACTTGCAAAACTTGGAGTTATAACAATCTTATATTAAAACGAAGTATGCCAATATGCATGTTATTGTATCTAGAATGAAATAATGTTTTGTAACACAATACCATGCCAGTTTGCATGCCTGGCCTTTCATGTTTTAGTTTTAGAACTATTACAAGTAGATCAAAAAAATTAAAATGATACAGTATGATTGTGTAATCCCATGCATATTCAAATTATATGCCCTCAATTACTCTTTGTATTATGGATGCTCATTGGATTATTCATGGCCACATGATATGAAATAGAATTACTAATTTCCTCGAAAACCTAAATCCTTGCTACCATGGAAGATGAAAAGTACAAATGACCAGTTAATTAGATCATGTGAGCAGTCAAAAGTATACCCTTTGTCTTCCCTGCTACCAGGTCTTATAGGGGTTTGAATGGCCAAATGCAATAGAAATGCATATACGAAGCTGTCATCATTAAATGTTGAAAATGAAAGACTACTTATTTGTTTCTTCAAATAGAGTACATAATAATAGGTTATATACTTGATATAGTAATCAAAACAAATAGTAACTGTCATATTTTGCAATACATTGCTCAAAGGCAATCACTGTCTGTATACTATTGAAATCTCTTTCAAAATGATGTTTTATAGTTTGTGGAAAAAAGCTAAATCTATTTAAACTAGCTTTAACTTTTACTGACCATACACTATATCAATAAGGAGTTATCTTTATGTTAGTATAGTCCCTTAAAACACTTATTTTATTTTCTCTTCATCTATGATTTACTTTGCGCTTTTCACTGAACATCTGGGATCTTTTTATTAGTTATTTTATTACTAGTATGTTTTTCAGATTTGTCCTTTCTTTTGCATTTTTGGGATCATTGTTTTTAGATCATCTACATTTTATTTTGGAAAAGTAACAAATTGGTTCAATTTCTTTACAAAGAGCCACTCTTAGTCTCCACTTCTACAATTGCTTCAATTCCCAATTGTACTCCACAGAGTAGCAAACAACAGAAAATGAATGGATAATGATAGCTGCATCCCAATGAACAAAATGTGATTACCTAAATCGAGGTTTCATCACTTTCATTAATCTAAAATTAATTAGAAATTATTTTTCTATTTTCAAACTTCTTCCATGTGCATGTAATAAAGATTGGTTATGTCTTAGGCCCTAAGGATCTGACACCTGCTGGTCAAAATGGAATTACGGACCAGTTGCAATGTTATTCTCCTATACCCAGTGAAAAAATCAACTGGTCTGTATCAAAAATAACCTGATAATGACCAGCGGACCGGCCCTTAGGGGCTACATTGTAATGTGCTGGGAGGTTTAGGCTACAGGGTTTATACCAAGGGAAATATGTGGGGGACCGTATTGGCATCATTGGTTTCAATGCATTGTACTTCTGCCTTAGTTTCAAAGGCAATAAATTCTTTTTGAAGGGTGTCCTGAGATTCCAAAATTAAGAAATAATTGTACTTATTTGAGAAATTGATTTTAAAGTTTTATAAATTGAATTTTCTTTATTTTATTAAATAATATTCTTTGGTTTTTGAAGATTTTTTTACAAAGCAAAACATTATTTTTCATTCTAGATACAATAACATGCATATTGGCATACTTTGTTTTAATATAAGAAACTCCAAGTTTTGCAAGTCACATGACCAATTCTTAGAGAGCTGATTGGTTGAAACAGTTGATATCAGATATGACAATTTGAAATTAGAAATAAGCTGTTATTCCGGTGGGAAATTGTATCAACTCCATTTCCATAGTTTTAAAAAAGGATCTTGTAAATTGTTTCAAGGTATGATATTTCATATAAGATATCTCTAGGGTGAGACCAGGTGACATACAAAAAATCAAGTTTCACATAGCAATACTGAGTAAGATACAGATCTCTAAACTTTCAAACCTTGATTTCTCAGTTCCGTAAAAATGTGAGATAGTACAAAGTTATTCTCATGCGACGATATGTTTAATCCACATATTCCACTGCGTCAAATGTGAAATTCCAAGCAATTTCTAGACGTGCAAAGATAGTCTAGGAACTCCGCGTATCTAGAGATTCCAAGACGTGTCAAGAGGTGCAAAGACCTCGCGTGTAAAGAGCGTGTCAAGAGTTTTGATATCTCTTTGCACAGCCTTATCAAAACAAACAGTATAATTAGACCGGCCACATGTTGTTATGCCCTATAGTCGCGCTTAATTATACTTTACTAGGATTGGAATATAACAATCATTTTAATTTCGTGTTAATAATAATTTGTGTTTTTTAAATCATTATCAAAATAA